ACGGAACATCCCTTCGCAAGTCAGCATTCGAAATCGACCCCAATGCAAATTAAAAATGCTTCGCTTCCGTTTCGCACAGAATTAACCCACTCACCCACAAACAAACACACACGATTGCGTTACTATATAATCTCCTACCTCGCTGCGAGGGAATATAAAAATTATTGATCTAACACTTCTATTCCGACATAAATAAAAAAAAAATTTTCCCAGTGCACATGACATAGGTTTTACTGTATATGTAATCTTTCGATTAAATTTGATTAACACGAATGGCTGACTTGGATGAAACAGAGAGACAGCGATCTGAAGAGAAAAGAAAATCAAGAGAAATTTTCTTGTGTAACGCGTTTTGAAAGCTAAATTACTAACTTCACATTTAAAAGCACAACCCATCAATGTAAAATAAAAACAATGAAATTATACAAACACAAATTGTATAATACTCAATATTAGTATATTTTAGAACAAACTGAACTTTCATCAATTGGTCAGTTGCATACTCCATGTAGTATATAACTTCAGCATGTGTCTCTCTTTCTGAAAAGGAAATAAAATATACTCTTCATTTTTTTCAGAAGTGTATAAATAATACTGTATTCATATACAATAAATAAAACTTTCCTTTTTTGAAATATAAAGGATTTTTTTTAACACAAGATTTTTTTTCCCTACTCATCATTCTATCAACATGGACCACCACGTATCAAAGGAAAGATGGAAGAAAGATAACTCTTTCGAGATGACAATACAACTATAAAAAATTGTCAATATTTTTTTTTAGTACAGTGTATAGCTAAAAAGGCATATCAATATAATCATAAAATTAGCTAAAAAGGCATATAAAACATCTTTTAAAACAGTGAGGCAGAAAAATATTTAATTTTGGCATGAGTATCTTTTCTTCAACCACTCCTGTTATTCAAAATGACTCAAAATGAAGCTTGAAAATTAAATCTTATCATGCAAAAATTTATATTTGAGACCCAGTGTGCATTGGGGTTCTTTGAAATTCTCATACAGGTCTTATACAAAGTCGAAATTTAATGGGGTCAAAGATTCATATACAGTCATCAAATATAGCAAAAAAAAAGTTCCGGAAACCGTGCTTTAATCCATAGAAAAAAAATCTTACAATACCTTATCGAACTATGGATGGAATAAAAACCGCGATCACCTATTGCATTTCTACAGGACACATACATTCATATTTCTAAAGATGAATTAGCTACTACTAAAACTTTGAGAAAGAATATGATTTAGCTAAAGCTTATTATTCTGACGAAGAATGGGTAGAAAGACTAGGTAGGGAATAACAAAATACCCAAACTTAAAAGAAAATAGATCATCGTTTATAAAAATGCATTGACCAAATAAGTTGATCTCTTAAATCACAATCTTAATATATAAGAAAATGAATGACTGAGTGTGAATGGGACAAAATACCTTGGAAACAACAGAACTGAGGTCAGGTGCCAAGAAGATTATTCAATACAATTCAATTTATTCACTCAAAACCATGTAAATAGTACATGAGGTACAAAAACATATAAAACATATATACATATAATAGAAATAAATGTACATAATTGTTTCAAAGAATCAACATCATTTTGGCACATGATTTCACAAAACTTGATGATATTTGGATTAGAGCAAAATTTTTGGTTCAAATAAACTTTCCTTTGTTGGTTTAAAGCACAACATTCTAAAATATAATGATACTCATCTCCTATCTGGTTACTACTGCATACTACAAACTCTTTCATTTCTTTGAGTACCATTCCATCTACCTGTTTCAATTGGGAGGTGGTGATTTGTGGTTCTAAACTTAACAAAAGTTTTTCTAAATTTAAATGATAACATTGTTAAATATTTTTCACACTCAAAATTGGTTTTAAAAATTCTATAATTTAAACTTTTTTCTTGAACTTCACTATTCCACTTTTGAATATATTGATCTTTTAATCTTTGTTTGACTGTAGCGGTTATTCATTCTATATTATAAAAATATTGTTCGTGCTCATACCATATATTTGATAAACCACATCTATCAAAAATTTTCTGTACAAATGATATCCATGAATTTTTCATTTCCCCTTTATCATGTTGTTTACGTAAATACATATGTACTATTCTACACAATTTGTTTTCTTTTCCATTCACAAGTTTTGCCCAATATTTTATCATTCTTGAGTAAATATTTATGTATAATGGAAATCTACCAGTTTCTCCATAAATCATATAACTTGGAGTGCTACTTTTCAAATTCAGTATATGTTTTAAATAACGTAAATGTACTCGTTCAATAATATCGATATTTTCATACCCCCATATTTCACAGCCATATAACAATACTGGTAAAACTACTTTATCAAACAAATCCAATTGACATTCGAAGGGGAGCTTAAACTGCTTAATTTTACGTATCACACCATACATTGCCTTTTGTACTTGTTCACATAGGTGTTTTCTTGCTTTACATAATGAGCCTGTGGGAGAAAATACAATCCCTAAATAATTAAAATCCTTGACTATACTTCTAACATACTGCCATTATATGTAAAAATATTCTTTGGCTGTCTACCCTTTGAAAAAATAAGTATCTTTGTTTTCTTGATATACACACATAATTTCCATTCTTCACAATATTTGCAAAATTCATTTAATGCTCTCTGAAGATCTTCAGCAGTTTCAGCAAGAATTACAGTATCATCGGCATAAAATAAGATAAACAATTTCATATACAAAAACAACTCATCCTGTATACCTTTGCTAATACTAGACAAACCAACAATATTCTTTTCTGTTCAAAAATCTTCCAAGTCATTAATATATACAGTGGCGTAGCATCGTTTTTGAAAGTGGGGGGGGCCAGGCAGAGAAAATTTTTTTTTTTACTTACCTGAAAAAGTTGACAAGCCAAAAAAAAAAAAAAAAAAAAAAAGGTAAAAATTGCCCAAAGTACGAAAATCCGATTTCGGGGGGGGGGGGGGGGGGGGGGGGGGGGGGGGGGGGGGGGGGGAGGGGGGGAGGTAAACTTTTTCTCATTGTCAACTACTTTTATTACCATTTCTTATACTACATTTTCCATACATTTTTTTTTACTTAACTTAAAAATTTTACAAGCAAAAAAAAAAAAAAAAAAAAAGGTAAAAAATACCCAAAGTCGAAAATCCTATTTCGTGGGGGGGGGGGGGGGGGGGGGGGGGTAGGTAAACTTTTTCTCATTGTCAACTACTTTTAGTACCATTTCTTATACTACATTTTCCATACATTTCTAAAAGTGGGGGGGGGGCCAACCATGCTTTCAATTAACATTTCCTATAGTGTAAGTTAGGTTATGAAAAAAAGTGGGGGGGGCCAGGCCCCCCCTGCCCCCCCCCCCCCCGGATACTACGCCCCTGATATAATGAGAATAAGAAAGGCGATAAGTTTTCACCTTGTCGTACACCAACATTACAATTAAAAAATTCAGATGACAGACCATTCATTTGTATTTTAGATTTGATACCACTATACATGTACATATTTTTAATAAAAGTAAAACATTTCCCATCGACCCCACTTCTAAGAAGTTTGCACCAAAGTCCCTCACGCCAGACTGTATCAAACGCTTGTTTAAAGTCTATAAACGCACAAAACAATTTTCTTTTGCTGTTAATTAATGTCTGAGATAAAAATTGTAAAAATAGGATATTGTCTAAAGTGGAGTAACCTTTTCTGAACCCAGTTTGACTTTCCTTAATAAGCATAACTTCTTCTGCATAATTTTCTAAACGGCTACCTAAGATTCCTGTAAAAAGTTTACCTAGACAACTTAAAAGGGTAATCGGGCGGTAATTTTCAGGATGCGTTGGGTCACCCTTATTTTTGTAGATTGGTTTCAGGATACCAATTAACCAGTTTTCTGGTACGATACCAGTTTCAAAAATAAGATTGAAAAAAGTTTCATAAATTGGCAAAAATAATGGCAAAGTTGTTCTTATATGCTCATTTAAAATATTATCGAAGCCCGGGGCCTTACTGTTCTTCAGACCATTAACAGCCGATGAAATTTCCTCCCTGGTAATTGGGTAGTATAACAGCTCATTATATGTCGCCCCGAACGAAGTCGGGGACGACATATTGATATTGTACGCATGTTTTTTTTTATCCAGGCTGTTTCTCGGAGATGGCTGGGACAATCTTCCTGAAACTTTCCTCAAAGGACGATCACTGGTTGTAGTTGTGCAGTGAGGTCGTTCAGTTCCAATATGTCTACCGTTGCCATGGAAACCTGTAAAAAGCGACGAATTTTGTCCGAGAGTGTTCTCTCTGGTCCCTTAAACGTTCGTCATGAAACCTTTCTTATTTTAATGATTAGTATCTGTAGTTGTGCGCCTCGCATTTAAAATTTTCAAATAATCGATTATTGCCATGGAAACCAGGTGAAAGTTAAAATTCTTTAATTTCGATTTTCTCAGTAACTACTCAGGCAATCGTTTTGAAACTTTCAATGTTTATTCCTTGCAATGTGTCAAAGTGATTTCTACTTTCAAAATAATTGTAATGAGTCGCTCACAGTTGCCATAGAAACGAAACAGAAAAAAAAGATTCAGATGTACACATGTGTTCTCCAAGGTCTAGGTCAAAGGGTCAAAGTTCGTCGTATCCAATAAAAGTTCTTTTCACGAGGATTACATATTTGAAATACGAAAGCCCTAGTACTTACCGTTCAAACGTTATGGCTATTTACTATGTTCAAGACGACCCCCCCCCCTTTTTGAAGCACACAGCCAAGTAGAATACACAGATATAACATATACAACTTACAAGTAGCTTTTTAAAATCTTCATTCTTAAAATTCAGTTCCCGTCATGTGATATTTTGCCATCATTCATTCTCCTTCTGTTTTGTCTCTTGAATTTATAAATATTTTATTTTATCTATATAAAAAAAATAACGATTGTCAGCTGCATTTATTATCATTTCGCGTTTTCTTGTATATCTATCACTTGTATATTATTCATTTCATTAGATAGTGCAAGTATGAATTAAAAAATTGGTACGTCATTTCCATAGTTTTTATTCATTCATCAATCCTTTGATCCGCTCCTGCAGGTTCGCGAAGCCTTGATCACCACTGTATACAAAACATTCATCTCCCCGAAAATGTTCATGATTCCGCTAAACTGAGAAAGTTTACACATGATTTATAATCTCATAACAAACATCAGCTCTCTGCAATGCAGAAATGCTCGAATTGATGGTGGCATGTTAGATTCGTTTTTCGGTAGAACCTCTAAAATGAAAGTGAAAGAGGGAAATTTCAGAGTTCTCACTGGCGTTACAATACACAAAATAAATCGGCTGATCTTTTTCATAAATTACATTCCCCAAGCTTTTATAATAGGAAAGATACTGCCAATTAACAAGTATGAGGCTCAGTTCAGTACATCTGCCAGATTTCTTTTATGCAAGTCTGCAAATTTAGGAACTTGTAATTTTCCTGCACTACTTTCTTCTCCTACCGATTCTAAAAATAATGAGTGGGATGTACCCAATTAAGGTCTTCCGGTTCCAATGGAAAGGACTGATACAACTCGATGGTTGTTCAAACTTAGCTAATGGACTTTTGTTTTAGTGATGATTAAAATGAAAGTCTTGTCCAGTACGGGGCGACATATGCTATTGCTTGCAATAGCAGACTTTCTAGTTATTATTGTAATTATTTACATGTAAATAGTTAGGCCAATTAACCTCAGTACATTAGGCATTCCCTATCGACTGGTCACACCCGCGATGAATTTACGGTGTTGTACAATAAATTTACGTAATAATTATGACATTTAGAAAGATTTCAGCTTTTCTGAAATTTACAAATGTTATTTAAAATCATATAACTGCAAAACGATTCTTCACATCAGAGCAGTTATTCACAGTTTTTCCTCCCACCACTTTTTAGGTGCTTTCTTTTTCCACTTTGGTGCTGGCTTTTCTCTTGACTTGTCTGTTTTCCTAGATTTGCCTTGCTCTGTTTTAGTCTCAGTTTCTTTGTCATCTTCACTTTTTGTGGCTGTTCTTCTCGATTCTTTAGGTCGAGCTCCACTCGTCTCTGTGATCGTTTCCGACTTGTGCACGTGACCAGTCGTTTGTTTACCTTCGGCACCAATTTTGCTTTCTGAATTACAATTATATTTGTAAGTGTTAGCTTAAAAATTAAAATTGATATGGCACTCTCAGAATTCAGCATATGACCTAAACTTGGAAACCGTACCTTTAGGTTTTCTTGTTGACATTTTACAGTCGGCAACCAGGTCAACCGTTGAAATAGAGGACAAATACTCTGAAAGCCTCTTAAAGTAACGGTTCTCCTCCCATTGTTTGCAAATAACACACGATCCATAATCAGATATACAGCAATATGGGTGCCCTGAAAGATGCAAAACGTAATAATCTAAAAACATACATTTAAAATTTATATTCAATGAAATCAGCAATGACCCAAAAATTACGATTTTTCAATGAAATGAAGCGTTTTATTGATAAAGAAAATTATACTTAAAGGATACAAAGAATACCTTCTTTGCAGATTTTCCAGTTTTTAGCATGTGGATCGGCCATAAGTATTACAGACGGTAAAGAAACTGTTCTTCTCATCAATATCCCGACATCTTCACAGATATCAACCTTACCACCGAGCTGCTGAGGTTCGTCTCTATAATTATCAGTTGACTCCTGAAGACTCTGAGGAAATGACTCGTCTTTTTCTGTTATCATATTCTGCCATTCCTGAGATATTCTGTACGTTGCATCATAAACTGATTTGTATTGATCAAACGATGGTCTGGCTGCATTCCTAATAGTGTCAATCTGATCTAAAGTTTTATCAACAAATGCTGTCAATTTCTTTTCATGAAGATTTCCTAATATTGAATCTAAATTTTGTCTGCAGTCTTCAACAAATTCTTGGCATTTCAAAAAGCTTGGAGAAAAGAGCGGAAGGAACTCGCACGATTTGACTTCTGTCATATATACCGTGATTGCCTTTGCCAGGTTAATTCTCTTTCTTTGCAGCTTTATGATCTTATTGTATCTCGGGTGCCATTTGATTTGTCTGCCGCATGTGGGACAGGAGAGACATATGAGAGAGTCATTTGGTTTCATTTGTATAATATGATTATCGAGAAATTCGGATTCAAAGAAGTGTCCGCAATCTGGTAGGTAGACCAGGTGCGATTTTACATTTAGATTGGGTAATTCTGATTTTTGTAAATCACACTGAGAACAATAAGGTGGGCATGGGTCACCGCAGAATCCTAAGCAGTTGTGCTTGCACTTTAACTTCTTTGGACATGGCAAAGAACAGCGAGGTCGATCACAGATTTCGTGACAAAGCAGTGAACACTGGTGATGAGGACAATTCCAGCTGCATGGCAATATGCACATGTCACAGATTTCAAAACAACGTTTCCCACAACCAGCATGGTCACAGTAATTTTCGCACTCCTTGTTACAGATCCCACAACTTTCACATAGCTCACTCTTACAACTGTGGCTACAGAGTAATTGCTTACTACAACACTCAGGACATCTCTCATGAAACTCGCGTCCCCGACAATCCTGACAATAGCCCACACATGGATGTCCACAAGTTAAGGTAGCATTACACCTTGATTCACAATTTATTTCCTCTTGGGACAACCCACAAGGATGAGAACAGATATGCCCACAAGATAATTTTGTTTGAACTGTTTCGATACACTCAATGTTTTCAAGCATCTCACCCATCTGGTACTCACTACATGAAAGTGGATAAAAGTGTCCACACTTTAAAACATAATCTAATTTTTCCGAACAACCAAGGTTTTCGAGATCTTTTTGATAGCAAAATATCTCGTTTGCATGTTCACAGGAAAGGAACTTTCTCACTTTTTTCATACATTGGATCCCCAAATTTTTTTCACCACACTTTACATCACAATCATGTCCACAATTTAACCTTTTGGATGTTAGCACGTTACACGAAACGATTTCTGGGTCTTTGTAACATTCTGTAATGATATGATGACCACAAGATTCCCTAACTTTTCCAACTTTTTCATTACATTTAAAGTTTTCAATGCATTTGGAACACTCTACTTTTACTTTGTGCCTACATTCAGGTAACTCTTTCATAATCAATTCAGTGCAATTAACATAATCTGGATCTTGGATGCAATCCATTGTAGCAAAATGGCCACATTTTGTAATGTATTTTTGTACTGCTTGTTTGCATGCACAGTCCTCTGGAAAATGACAAAGTCTCTTGCATTTGTGATCCCTTTCACATAGTTGCCCACAAACCGTTTCACATTTTTTCTTCCTATCAGTTTCGATATTATAGCAATTCGATATGTATTCATGTCCACATTTTCTTTTGAGAGTTACAATCTCTGTACAAGTTTTTCTCTCAATGTCTATATGACAAGGAACTATTTTCTTATGGCCACATTTCTGATAGACTTTTTCAACCATTTGCTTACATACAAAATACTCTGGGTTTACACAACATTCCATCCAATTTTCATGTCCACATTTTAACATTCGAAGAACGTTATTGGTGCATTCTGCATCATTAAAATATGCACATTTTACGATTGAAGAGTGACCACATGGCCATGTTTTTTCTGTAAGTTCTACACAGTTAGATCTTGAAAGACCGAGATGACACTGAACTGATGCGGTATGTCCACAAATCAACTCGCGTTTAACTATTTCTTCACAATTGTAGTTGTCTAGTGTTTCATGGCAAGGAATTTCTATACTATGTTCACAATTAGTGAAATATTTTGAAACGATCTTTTCACATTGTGTTTCGTTTGGTTCCAGATAACACTCAATTTTGTTCTCATGCCCACATTCGAATTCTTTATATACCAATTCTTTACATTCACATGGGTTTGGATAATGGCAAAGTTGGGAACATGCGTGTCCTGCGGAACAAGTACTAAGACACTGTACATAACAATCGCTTAACTCATGGTTTTGATCATCAGGATGACAGTATCTTCTGCAAGCGTGACCACATGGTAGTCTAGCATCACATTTGATTTCACATCCTCCCTCTGGGCAATTATCAAAATCAGATGCATTTTTAGCTTGAATTCTTCGCTCTGGGTGGTTCTGACAAAAAAGTGGAAGTTCTGTTCCAAAACATCCTTGAACCTTAAGATTAGCTACCACAATTTTCCAAAGTTTTGTTTTCTTAGCTTTTGAACTCATCATGTCAAAATTTCCAATGACAAAAAGTCCCTTTCTTGCCCTTGACAAAGCAACGCAAACTCTATTTTCCTTGTCCAAAAATCCCAATTTACTCAGTTGATTGCTCCTAACCAATGACAACAAAATAATGTCATTTTCCTCGCCTTGGTAGTTATCGACAATGCAGATCCGAATGTCCTTGATTTGACTGTCTACAAATTTAGACAGGCATCGCAACTGTCCAGAATAGGGCGTCAATACGGTTATTTGAGATGACTTGTAACCTTGATAAAGTAAATACTTGCAGAGTCTTGTGGTAAATTCAGCTTCATGTTCATTTTCGTAGCTTCGTCCCTCGTCTTGATAGTTTTCTTTGAAGGTATGCCTCAAAAAGAAAACGTCTTTTCCGATTCCACTGATACGTTCATATTCTTTTACATTTTCACCATCGTGTAGACCTGGATAAATTTCCTTTACTAATAAAGAAATATCTGGTCTCATTCTATGTTGCTTTAATAAGCAATGATATGGTACCCCATTTCGAATCATTCTCTCAAAGAACGATAGAGACATGTGATATTTTTGAGCAAGTTCATAAACTGCTGGCTTTGGTTCAAGCTGTTTGTGATCACCAATAAGTATTAAGTGCTGACATGATGACGTAAGTGATGCCAAAATATGGGCCTCCAGAACTTCTGCAGCTTCATCAATAATAGTAATGCGAGACTGGAGTAATTCTAACATCCTATGGTATTTAGCAGCTCCAGTTGTGGTCATAGCAATAAGAGAGGCCTTCCTGAGAACACTATATTCATTTTGAAATTTTTCCTGTTTATAACCTTCGATGATGTCATCCTTACATGCTTCATATCTTTCAATTCTGATCAACATTCTTTGATGAAATTGATTTTTCCAATATCTGTATAACTTCCATCTGATAGAAATGGGTAATTCCCAAATGTTTTGTTTCTCAAAAACTACAGCCTCGTCAACGGAAATAACATCACCCGAATTCATATTACTAAGTATGGATTCAATGACACGCTTTATTGTTTCATGGAATTCTCTGTCTTTTTTAACAAATTTGTCTGCTGAAAAACTACGCCAAGTATCGAGAATATTTATCGCAAACTTAATTAAGGGGGATTCTTGAATTCTTAAGTCCAGATAATCACTCTCCTCATCACTTGATGTTGAATCGTAAAAACCAATTTCGTAAATATTCTTTTGTAAATTCTTTTCCAGTCGAAGATAATGAGAAATTTCAATATTGCCTTCACTGAAGTTTCTGCTACATGCTGAGTCTAAAATACCCCTCTTATCAGCATTCAACCATCTTAACATCGATTTGTCTTCCTTTTGCGAAAATTGCCCAATCGGCAAATCAATAAAGATACTAAAGGTGTTGTGATCAATAATGGTAAACGGTAACCGCCGTTCCATATAAGTATATTCAGAAATTATGGACTGTAGTCCATGCAGATTTCTTAATCTGTTCTTCTTAAATGTCCTCTTGCTTTTCTTGCGGAGCGAAATTTCTTCACTTAATTTGTTTTTGCATCTTCCACCAACTCGCACAATTCTATCCCAAGAAGTTTTGTCGATAGAGCCTAATATATTCTCTAAAAATTGATCCAATGCGTGGTTTGTAAAACAAACCAAAATTATTGGACTAATTCTACCTCTCGACCAGCACGTTGTATTTGCCAAGAGAGATTTGACAATCTGCAGACCAAGATAAGATTTTCCGGTACCAGGGGGTCCCTGGATGATACAGAACTCCTTTGTCAAGGAAGATTTAAATGCTTCATATTGAGAGGGATTCATCTGAAGCTCCTCAGCAGATGGCCAACTGTAAGGATCCGACATTCGTTTACCTCCGTGATAATTTCGGTATGCGCTGTCAATTTTTACGGAAGACTTGTTGATAACTGAAGAGAAATCGTACATAACATCTTTTTCCATGTAGCCCACTCCTCCAATATCAGTCTCGCAATTTACTATATATTTCTCAAAGACCAATTGACCGGGCTTAATGGTTTTAAGTTTTTCTAGTCCATGTCTGTAGGCTTCAAAAAGAGCTGTACTTTCAATCATTTGAAAAAGGCAACCCAGAATATCCCCCTTTAATTCATTGCTTTCCTGAATTATCTGAACTTTGAATATTCCTCTGGCACTTAAGTCTTTCGTATCTGCAGCCATAATAGTTGCCAATGCAAAGGTATCAAAATGATCACATGACAGACAAACCAGTGAGCCGTGGATTAGTCTTTTAGTATTGTCCCAGTCGATGTTTTCAAAAGTTTCATTATCTAGTTGCAGAATGTGTAAAATACCGTCCAAAGATGTTTCTCTATATAGAATTCTAACATCACTGTAAATCCGAGCATTTTCTAGACGGCGAATGTAACGGTTTCCGTTTCCAGCATCATATTCTTGTCTATACTCCTGTATTCCGTCTCTAAGCTGTGATATACAGTCTTCTCTAAATAGTCTAAACTGAACGTCTAAATAGTGCTCCATATCATCATATTGGCCGTCTCTGATGACTTTTCGTAAGAACGGTTTCTGTTGAGGAAAAATGTCTTCTCTTCTGGGAAAAATTGGAATTTTTCTGAAATCTCCTGGTGGTTGTCGTCTGTCGACATTTTCTTTTGCTATGACTTTCTTCTTTTGGATTTCAATAGCTCTGCTTATAGCCTCTTTAACTGTACATACTTTCCTTTTCAGTGTCTTGCAAGCTTTTGTCTTCTCGATTGTATTTTCCAGCACGCAGATTAACCCTTGTAACTGTAATGAAGAACTTGGCATACATGCCTGTAGTTGTTCCAGTATTTCTACCACACTTGTGATGACGACTTCGCTATCTTCCGTAGTTACGTCACTACCTAGTGCGCTCAACAATCTTATCAGATAGTCAACCGAATGGTTTTCTCTAAAAAGATTGAGCAATTCCACAATTAATTCGCGATTTGATAGACTTTTTAAACTTTTAAAAATTATTTTCATGATACAAACGTCCTCTGACGAACAACTCGTGGATGTATTTCTTTGAAAGTAGTTCTCCAATGTTCTTAAAGCGGAGACAATGTATTTCAGACATTCTTCAGATGATGTTGACTCGCTCGACTTTTGAAGTAAAATTTCTCCTGATAAATGGTCCGACATATCTTCGTGTATTCATCAAACCCTCAAAGCTGTTCTCTGAAATAAAAATGAGTTCATTTTTTTTGTTCATTTTCATTGATGTTAACGTAACATTTCAACGATGCATTTATACAAACAAAGTCTACCTTAAAGTTTTTGTCCCCCGCTTTCGCGAAAGCGTTTTCATTTTTAAAGTCCGTCCGTCACAAAAACTTTAACCTTATGTTGTCCCTCGCTTTCGCGAAAGTGAGGGGACATTAAATCTCATTCATCTGTCTGTCTGTCTGTCCGTCAGTCTGTCAGTCTGGTAACTTTAAACTTGTCCATAACTTTTGATTTAGTGGAACTATGACTTTCATATTTCATATGTGTATTCCTTAAGACAAGACCTTTCTTTTGGGTACCACCAAATTTGACCTTTTGACCTTGACCTTGGAGTTTGACCCAATGTTACACAAAAATTCCAAACTTTGACTTTGGCCATAACTTTTGAATGGTCGGTACTAGGACTTTCATATTTCACATATGTATTCTTTGTAGAAAGACGTTTTATTGGATACCAACAACTTTGACCTTTTGACCTTGACCTCAGAGATTTCCGTACTAATAAGAAAACTTTAACCTTGACCATAAGTTTTGAATGGTAAGGGCAAGGGCTTTCATACTTCACATATATAATCCTTGTGAGAAGACCTTTCATTGAATGCCAAGAACTTTGCCCCTTGGACCTTGACCTTGGAGTTTGACCTACTTTTCAAAAACATTGACCTTGGCCACAACTTTTGAACAGTAGATACCAGAATTTTATATTTCACCTAGGTATTCTTTGTGGCTAGACCTTTCATTTGATACCAACAACCTTGACCTTTAGACCTTGACCTTGGAGATTTTTTGTACTTATGAGAAAACTTTAAGCTTGACCATAACTTTTGAATGGTAAGGGTTAGGGCTTTCATACTTCACGTATGTAATCATTTTGAGAAGACTTTTCATTGGATACAAGAACGTTAACCCTATGACCTTCACCTTGGAGTTCAGTGATAATTTCTAAATAGATGACTTATGATAGGGCGTTCATATTATACGCAAAATGTCATAAAAAATGGCATCTCACCCAAAAAGACACCGAAAGCGGGGGACCACAATTCTTTGAATTTGCTTGTCATTTTTAAAGCGTTACTTTCTTTACGTAATAATAATTGGTCCAGCTCTCTTAAGGAAAGGGAATGGATTTGGATTTTTGTCAACTCTTGTAATTTATAAATACTAGTATAAAGATTATGTTAAATAATCATTATATCAGCAGACCAGTCATTAAAAATCAGCAGACCAGTCATTACAAATATTTTCTTAGTTTTACTCTCTTAATCAAACCAATAGTTATAGTTTACATAATTTGGGTTTATTTCTGATAAAACTCTTACCCTTGCTGTTATTAACATTATAACTTCCAACTAGAATAAATAAAATGTTGGTCACAATCTGTAACTCTCAAATATATTTAACTTACGCATAACACAATATATGTACCATACAAATCGCTGACAAAGCTGTTCTTTTAGTTTCGTTTTCTCTTCTGCGAATGAAAAAAAAAATTGAATTGTTGCCAAAGGAAGTAGAGATAATGAATGTATATGACATATTACACTATAGAGCATGCATTTAAATTACTGAAAATCGATAATCAGCTCAGATTAGGAGGAGTGTTTGTGTGGAAAAACGCCCCCCCCCCTCCCCCGCACACACACAATTAAGTGGGGAACAAATGAAATAAATTGCTTGACAGTGTGCAAGTCGTATTTTGTCGTATGTAACTTCGAACATCAAACTCGTTATTGTTCTTATTAACCAAAATTCATATTCAATCATTTGCAATGAAAAAATTAGTAACTTTGTTGCCTTTTTAATTAAAACGATGAATATTAAAACGTTTAATTAGCTTGTTTTTTTTCTCATTTGTCAAAGAAATGCATGCTAACTTTAACATACAACATGCATGCAATTCCTTTTCTCAAATTCTTGTGTATCACTTATCAGTTTGTTCATTGGAATATTTTTTTTCAGTAGACATAATTTACAGAAGCGTTTAGGGGCGGTATCTTTTATAACAATTTTCAATATCTTTTATTATTTTGTTTTTACAAATTACTAATTTATTATTATTGAAATTGATTTAATTGTTATTACAAATTAATTTTTTTATAACAAATTAATTTTTTATAACAAATTAATATATAATTTGATATAACAAATTAATACATGTAATTTGTTTTATACGTGGTGGAGGTTCATTTTCAAGCATTATTCACCATGATTTCAAATTGACAATGGAATAAGTGGATATTGGATATTAGTATACCTTTCAGTTGATTCAAAATGCAAGAGCAAACGTACTAACAATTTCTAAATCGGAAAAAGCTATTGACAAACAATTTGATGAAACATGGATAACAACAGTCTTGCCGCGGTGTGAAGATTGAAGTCATCATTTCGCAATTTTTTTTCCAATAAAAAAAATGCTGACTTTGTTAGCAAACACAATGTACTAAAGTGAATCAAACTCTGACTCACAATGAAGGTTTTTTTCAAGGTAATAATTTACAGACTGTCAGTATTGTCTGGGTTTTCACCTTGATCATTTCAAGGAGCAAAAGATGTGACCCGCGGTAGTCTTGGAATACCCACTCCTCCAGATATTAATTTAAATGGACTATTAGCTTAATAACCATTAATTTATAGAAATTTAAAAATCCATTTATATATTTTCAAGTTTGGAAGAAATGAACCGGAAAAATAATCTCGATCGATATTTTTTATATTCTAGTATTCGATGTATCATTTCTTGTCCAATGAAACGCGTGTTTACATATGACGTAAAAGACAAGGCCGCGGCAACTTCAATGTGAAACAAAGGTGAAGTTTTGGGATATTTTTTAAAGTTCAAACCACTACATAGATAATACATATTTATTTTCTTTATGTGCAGGGAATTAATGGAATACAAAATATCTTACAGGAAACCCCATCACCATGTAACGTTTTTCACTTGTCAGAGACCTTCAATCAAATATCGGTATGATTGCATCGATTGTGTTATCGATGCACAAGGTTGTAAACATGACCCATCATCCCAAGTCAAGGGGTTGACATGGGAAAATGAAAATGACCATACTGGTATAATATTTATTTATTTATTAAGATGCACATTCATCATCTAAAGGTGGCAGAGCTATCTCCTACAGAAAGACTGTTCTGGGTAGTTCTCTATTCTCTTTATAAATGGACATGTTTTACATCCATGTAGGCAAAAGCCTGTCCACTTCTCTAAAGAGAATTAGTAGTTCTCAGGACCCCAATCACAGTTAATTATATACATCTCTCATCGCTTAGCAATTAACTACATGTGTACATTAAATTCTCAAATTGTTCTGAGAGATTTAGTTCTGTTCATCTTTGTCCTGTTACATGTAGAAAAATCTCTTTGATCAGAGGTCCCTGCTTTTACTTATAGTACCTTTTGAAATTCATTTTACTTCTTCTCCACAATCATCTAATCATTTACATAGAAATATTGAGTATTTCATCATGTTCATATCAATCATTTTGATTTCTCAATTATAAATTCAGAATTTTACTATGTTCATCCAAATGTGCCAGAAAAGTAGATTAGTCATTCTGTGTTTTCTATTCCAGATGTAAGTTGATCAGTATATCCTATAAACTGTTCAATAAGACTAAATTAAATCCCAGATGATCCAGAAAGATGTGTCACAGAGCGCCATTGATACAGCTTGTTCTCAATTTTTTAGCACACAATAAAATGTCCATAAACAGCCCTGGTAATTACATTCTGAATTTCCTTTTAGAGGGTAACCTCTTTGTTCCCTTTAACCTAAGAATAAAAAAGTTTGAGGATATTTAAAAACCAATCAAGATTTTTTTGACTTTGCATTTATAAAAAAGTCTTTCCAAAACATTTTTTGTTGTGTATTCCATTAGATTTTTACAAGTGTCATGTGTGAATTTCTCTGCTTGTTTCTTTTAAAAGGAAATGTAATTAAGCTTGTTGAAAAAGGCCAAACAGGAAATATGCAGCTTATAGGTAGCAATTCGGTAAAACTGCGATCTTAAGATAGAAACTAAAGGCAGCTAATGAAGGTTTGACGTAATGACAATGCAGGACTTAAAATCTTGTATTTTTCTGTTTCAGTTTTACTGCCTGGATTTTTATGAATTTGTGTGCATGATTGACCAACTGTGATCCCAAATAGTTGGTCATAAAAAAGAGATGGATTTTTTTTTTCTCAGATTGCACGGGGGCATCTGACAGTACTATACCATGTAACGTAAATATCTATATTGTTCAGTGTAATTGACTGGGGATCAAAGGTATTAGTAGGTTTGCGGTGTTATCACCTTCCAGCGATTTTAAATAGCTTTATGATTGTAAATCTGGCTATTTAGATTTTAGGTCAATCCTCGCAATATTTGTTGTGATTTTTTCTGCTTTTGGATTTATTTTGTGATTTGATTTTATAGACAGTTGGAATGACCTGGCACAAATGTGAATGAAAAGCTTTGTGTGAATGATTTGATAGAGGTAAGATGTTCAGTTATGTTCATTTATTTTCATGCAACACACCAAAATCTGAACTAAATAGATTATATAAAATAAAAAAGTATATAATGACCAAAATTCTTTTGTCTCTCTAGATAAATTTTTCATCTCTTGGGTATGCTTTATTTTGAACAAAAATAAAAATACTGGATAAAGCTCCAGGTTTTCAAAGATAAACATATCTAACACATCTTATTTCAATACATATAATGTTACAGCTTGAGCATCTAATTCTTCAGATTAAAGATAAAACCATGAAATTGAGCATTTTCTCCCAAAAATTATATGAAAAAATATTTATGATAATAGTAAATTGAACTTTTATTTGATTTTTGATATGTATAGCTTTTGTTTTTCAATGTTATGTACTTTAATATAATTGTGTTCTTGGAATGTTGCAGAAAACAGAGGATGTGCCTGTAAAGAATGTGATCAAAGGTAAGTTTCCTCTCGTGTGCCATGTCCAGGGGACACCTACAAATGTCTACTGACGTGTCAATCACTGTCACTCCATACAGAACACAGGGACATTTGTGTTGGTGGTAGACTGATGAGGTTTTGTGCCATCGCTTGCTTGTAAATGTTCTTCATAGTTTGTACAAAAGCTTATTAATATCCATTTTTCTATATTAGTATATATTGTCTAATATATAAGCATATGGCATTTGACAAATCTTAAAATATTTATTAAAATTTTTATGCAATAATTATTAAAGAATGATAATGTTATACAAGTATTGTAAACGTCTCTCTCAGTTTTAGCATTCATAATATTTTATTGGGCCAAGTTAAATGGATTGATTGAATATTTTATTTGCATGTATTTTCTCCCACAAAAGTGATTTCTGTTCATCATTATACTTCCGTTGTTCTTCAAAATTTTCCTAGGGGTAAATGCAAGGTACCCTTTGTGAGAAAATTAAATAGATATGCTCAGTTCACTTTTTAAAATTTTTTTTTTCTGAATGTTCTTTTAGTGTATAGACTATAGAGGGTGCTAAAAAATAAATGTTGAAGGTTTATTGCCTTAGGTTAAGGTAAGTGGACATGCTGGATTACCATATCAGTAAATCTTAATAAGATTAGCTTAGAATGAATTTTATCCAATTCAGATTACCTAACACTGGGCATGTCAACCTCAAATAAATAAATTGAGAAAGGTCAAGGGAGATTTATATGCTTATGAATAACACATATCCTCCAACTGCTAAACTGAGTTATTTCTCTTGGCTTTTTACAATACTATTCCCAGAAGAAAATTTGTCAATGGCTTTTTAATCAAGATTGAAAAATGAACCAAATGGAATAAAGTAGATCAGTTAGATTAATACATTGAGGAAACTTCAGAAAGGAAAAAAATATAATCAATTTTCAATCAATGCTAATATTTTTAAAAAAATTGATAATTGAGAATGAAGTAGGGTATTGTATTGTACACAATATGCAATCTGTTACACTACTAAATACTCCTGTAACTTTGTAGGGTAGTACCAACATAATGGAGGTGGAGGAATCCACGTTTGATGTCTTCTCCACATCCCGTTCCCGTCTTCTCCCTGTGGACGACAGAAATGCCTCCCTCTTTAACTCCCACAGTGTGGGAATGTTACAGTGGGGCAGTCTGGAGGATTTCAAGGCCTTCAACAAAAAGTGGGAGAGTGTGGACGATGTCAGGCAGATCCCCTCGGACTTCAGTGCTCCGGCTTCTCACCTCGGGAGCGTGGACAGGTTACAGTTATTGGGCATGGATCACACAGGGGTGGGTAATGTCCACCATCATGAGACCTACAGCCAGAGTGGGACCCTGCCCCTGGGGTGCCTGGATGATGTGGATGAAGTTGTTTTTGAGATTGTGGTGGACATGAGGCCTGGGGAAAAAAGATTTGGATTTTCTGTCATGGGCGGATTGGATGAGGGGTTTCCACCTCGGATTGATGATATTGCATCAGGTATTGGAATGTTCTAAAAATAATATTTATGTTTGAGTTATATGATTGAATTATAAGGTACAGGGGAAACTTTAAAGGGAAAAAGATTTTTATTGCATAACTTAAGAGTTTGATTTTAGCTGTTCATATTCACTAGGATTTTCCCCACCCCTCATTTTCCAAATCATATATTTAAAAAATGCATAACTGTCAATTCATCAATATTGCTAACAAAGCATTAAACAAAAAAGAATTGAACCAATAGGATAACCTTTCTAATGTCACTCTAAAAAGAAATTACAGAAAAGTTTAAGGACAGTTACATGTAATAGTAAAGGTGTTCTTGTGACGGGTATTAATTTTGTCTAATGATTGTATGACAGTCTTATCCAATCTTCGTTTAAGGAAGAAAAAATGCCACAATAAGCATATGCATTTATGAAAATGGTTTATTATTTTGAGATTATAAACTTTTTCAATGATTTCAATTCCACAATATTTATAAAAATGCAAGTTCAATATAAAGATTGAACAGTAATAGTTGTGATAACCATCTATGTGGTAATTACAAAAGCACACAGGGAAGAAGGAAAATTTACCAAGTCTCACATTGATTATTAGAATTAATTTGAAGTTAATCAAGTAAATAAGATGCCTCAGCTGTAAGAAAATTGGATGAAACTATAATTTGTTCTGGGAAATCATGTGACTTTAAGCTTCAGATATTGGTTGCTGATTGCTGAGGAGACAAAGGCCAAAATTTATTATAATATTATATGTGGTAATACAGTGTATCATTAGACTCACAACTGAACATTCCTGTTACTTTTATTGTTCATTATATCCCAGCCCCCAAAAATTCAAAGTCTCATGCACTTAGCAGATTTTTTGAAGAAAGACATGAAAAAAATATTGACTGATATTGGCTTATTGTAATTCTGCAGTTAAAAAAAAATCATTGTATACTGTATATCAGTGCTGCTTGAATTAATCGAACCATGCACACAGAGGTCAATGATATTTCAGTAATAATTCAGCAGTGTTTTCTCTAAAAAAAAATCTATAACCTCCTTAAGATGATTGATTCCACTCATGAGTAAAAAAGACAGTTTGATTTAGTGTCAAGTCAAGAGTCAAACAAAGCCTCCAATTTATTGATAAGACAGAATGCAGCAAGTGGAAGCCAGGCTGTCAGTCCAAAAGCTCAGTGTTTACAGAGCCCTCTGGCACAGCACCAAAGCTCTGATGATGTGCTAAATGAAGCCTGCTTTGAGGAGGAAACTGTCCTGATGATCATCGGAATGGCAGAATTTCCTGATGAGTAAATAATTCCTGAAAAGGGGCCGGTCTCCCTTAAGACATTTATTCGCAACAAATCCTCTAAATGATTGAGATCTTGGATTAGGAAGTTTTCGCTGTCAAATGTCATTAGGGTGCTGTACTTGCTAGCTGTTTGAAAATGTATCGAAAGATTTCCCCAGAAGCAATGTATATAATGCTTAGGGTAGTCCTGTCAGTATACATGTATTATAACTAGTGTTATCAGTTGCTTTAATATTGGAGGTTTATTTATAAACAATATTTACATGTACATTTAAAACAGATGACATGCATTCCTTGGAATATGAAAAACAATCCAACCTACTAGACCAGTTAAGGAAATCTTCTATTGTATTACTATATATAGTATCACAGTGCATCTAATAAAATCCAAATTATTAAACGTAACCAGGTAACATACCTGCAGAGATTAAGTATAGTATTTAGAAGTACGGTTATCACGGTTTATATCGGGTGGAAAACCTTGGATAACCACCATGAACTGATTCCCAGTCTCAGTCAATAGACTGTATTAATGGTTATTTTCCAATCATTTGTCATTTATAGGAAGGCAAACAGTGCATAAACCTTAATTAAATGAGCCATATTTGCATTAATGGAAACCCATTATGATTATCAATTGATAAGAACATTAAGGCAATGTATACACCATGATATTATATATGACCATACTTTACAGATGCTTTCTTTTGCAAATCACACTCTGGTTTTTCTGGCATATAGACATCTAGACTCAAGAGTATAATAATTTTATAGCCTGTGAATGCCATGTAATGATTATATCTAATGAGCAAGGGTCAAGGTCAGGTCAAGGTCATTTTCATGTCTGTGACTGTCAGCTCTTCACTATCTTTAAGGCAGTGCTGGGGAAAGGGAGGAAGATTTATAGCATTCTGTCAATGAAAATCAATTCCAATGAGAAATCTCACTGATAAAACACACATATAGAATACTTCTTCTTTGTCATTAAATGGTGCAAGACTCAATTTCCTGGCAAATAACGCAGATATTGTTTGGACAGGGATCTATCTCCTAATTGTGTAATTGCATCTCATCTTCATTTCGATTGTATTTTAATGATTTTTCTGTACAGTTAACAGCAAGGACACTGGGATTGGGTATATACATATTTAAATGTTTCCCAAGAAATTTTGGAGCATTGAATTATGGCAACTGTGAAAGGTGGTTTGAATTATTATTCTGTGGATATGAAATAAGATCTACTCATAAATATTGAATACTTGGATTTTGGAATAATGACTTCATTGTGTATTGTTAAAAATGTGAAAATCAATTTGTTGAGGATATATAATATTCTAAAATTTTGCTTATTTTGGAGTTAATCCCCAGGGAAAATGTGTGTTTTCCAATATCAAAATAAAATTGATGTGACTATTCCATTCCATTAAGCAATTAAAAATCACAGAGATGGTTGATCTATCTGGGTATATCATACTTTTGGATGAGGCACAGGGAACTATTAAATTGCATGGTATGTACAGTCACACTTCTATAAAAGTAAAGCAAGACTGCAAGAGATTGTTCAATTAGTAGTAAAATCTATATTGTATTAAAATCATTTTGCAAGTTGGCATTTGTATGAGTTTCTAGTCTAGGGATGACTGAATGATTTTCTCATGAAAACCGTGCATTTTTCAGAAATGAGACTCTCTACTAAAGCTATATGAGTACCACAGGTGCTTGACGTTTTATCATAGTATAGGGGATATTTTTATTTATGAAAAGAAAGGTTAAAAAAGCCTGTGATTAGTACAATATTTTGTTATTGACAAACAAAATAATGATTGTTCCCTTTGTAGTTTTAAATAATCAGAACTTTGTTCATTTGGATCAGAGATGTTAATGATGCTGCTGCTGATGATGATGATGATCATCATCATTTCATCAGAATTATTATTATCTTCATCATTAAAATTGTCATCAGACAATAAGACAGGTTGTTGTGAAAATATCATGTTACAGCTGGTTGAAGTTTAAAAAAAATAATATAACATTCCATATTTGTATTACATGTATCAATATGAGACAAAATCAGCAGTGCTTCAATAAAGAAAAAAAAAGATTAGAAATTTAAAAAAAAATAGAATTGGTCAAATAAGAAGTTAGTCAGACTGTTTATACCTGTCACAATCAGTTATCTATTAACATAAAAACATGAAATATTGTTTGAAGATGCATATAATATTTCATGCATTATTTCCTCTTCAATGTGTCATTGAATTATAAACAATACATTATATGAATACTATAGATTGTGACAATTGGTTATTAATACTCGATGTCATCTCTTTGTTTGAAATACATATAATAAATAGGAGAAAATATTCCCAAAAGAGAGAAAGTAAGGGAGGTAAATCATTACAATCTTTAATGACAGAGTAATTATTACTGAGATAAAAATTGCTTACAAAAAATATTTCCATTTCTGTTTTCTCTGTGATAACTCTTTGAAAGTTAAGTGAGTTGATTTCTTGATAATGCAAGCGGAAACGAAAATTTTTTTAAAGCGAAAGCCAAAGGTCACAAGCTAAGGAGGCCTAATATGCATGTAAAACTTGTGTGTCTGTCCTTGTATGTTCCTAGACAGCGATTCCTTAAGTAAAGTATAATTATATAAATGAATAGGTTTTTATTATTTATTTATGAGATATTTTGGCCATGGACATAGATTATAAATATTGTATTCTAACATTATAGGTTCCCCAGCAGACAGGGCTGACTTGGAAGTCTGGGATGAAATCCTGGAAGTCAATGGAAGATCACTAGAAAACTGCACCCATGCAGAAGTCATTACCTTCATTCACAAGGTACTTACTCAGTACAATACACTCATATGAGAAGGAGGCATACAAGTTAAGGACAATTGCCTGCTCTGAAATAAGATATTTCTCAATTCTAAAACTTCAGAGGAAATACATATTTTTCAAATATTGTACAGTATCTTTAGTATAATTTTTTGCACATTCGAATTCAGTACATGTATTTGATTGAATTAATTATGATAAATAATGTAGTTTTCAATTATTTTTTCATGGTACAAGAAATAAAAAAAGAACTTGATTCAAACTCATTCCACACCTTGCAATAAGATACATTGTTAATTCTGCATACCAACATCACTAAATTGTGTTAGTACTAAAAAAGGGGTGGGGAAGTTTGTAGAAGTATTTCTTTTTTTTTTTTTTAGAAGTGTTCAATTTCCATACAGAAAGAGTTTGAATTTCTTTTCTTTTTTTTCTAAGAAAATTTAAATACATTTTACATTCATTGTTTAGAGTCATTTAAACATTTATGTAGCATGTATAGTCTTGGCCTTGACCTTTAACATTTAAAATCATTTTTTATCATTTTCTGCTACATGTAAATATACTTTTATCAGTCAAGTTAAAAATAAGTTATCAAACTTTACGTCATTCAGTTAAATAAATGAATAAATTGTGATGCAGATGACATTACAGACAATATTAAAAGTATAACTTCCATGTTCTTTGAAAATTTGGAAATGTATTTTCCAAGAGCAGGGGATTGTCCTCGATCACTTTGTACACCCCATTCTTTACATATTATGAACATTATAAGATCACCTGAGTAATTCAGATGTCTACTGCTATCTGCTGTTGTCAGTTTGTGTCCAGTCTTTCTTGCTTGCTCCATTAATATCTGAATATTTTCATTTTCTTCTTTGAAAATCTGAACCAATTTTAACCAGTGTTAGAAAAAAGCATCTTTTTTGCAAAGTGCCACTGTATGACAAGCAAGGGTATCTTCCTAAATTGTGAAATCATTTGCTCCTGGGTCAGCAGCTCTGTTGATGGGAAATTAAGTTTCCACACAAATGGTAGCCAGCGTACAGAGGCACTTGTTTCGGAAATAAATTTGAACCCGTAGTATAATAATAACACAAGGTACATGTATCTAACTCCAAATTACACTTGGTAATCCCTCCTCAGAAACACACTCATTCATACTTTCAGAGGAAATGCACTGGCAAACTATTTATTACCATTTTCTTCAACGATAATTTATCTACACAGCCATATATGGCATGCATGTGTTACATTAAAAGTTTAAATAAAGCGAGATAGTTATAGATAAGTTTAAACTTTAGATTTAAACTTTTAATGTAACACGTGTTTGTTTTCTTTTATCTCCGTAAACAGCATAAAAACTCTGCTCGCCGAGTGAAAAGTCAAACTAAACCATAAAACCTACCGGTGATTATTTTTTCAAGAATAATTGACAATATAAGAATATGTAAGAGAAAAAATCTGTTTGTGAAGAAACAAACATTACTGACTCAGGTAAGTGTTTTGGTCCATGGGCCTCTTCAGAGGTTATCTGTGAATAAATCCATTACAATGCCCCGTGGGTGATAAAGGATTTGATCATGTGACCAGCTTCATGTCATATCACAATGGAACGCCAAAAATGATTTTTTTTTTTCTCAATAGTTGTTACCTTTTGTAAAGACAACAAATGTTTGATAATCTTTTATACACCCCCCCCCCCTTTTAATGTAGTGGTTTCTTTCTATAACTGTTGAATTTAATATAAGTCATTTCTATTATATTTTTATTACCTGGTTGTTGGTCTTATACACTGCACCAGTGATTTTTTTTTTCATTAATCAATCATCCATGCACGGGATGTTTTTATTTTTACATGACACAAGGGGCCTCGTATTTGTGACCTACTTATGACCTAAGCTGCCATCTTGAATATTTGGCATATTTATAGGTGTTAAAAACAGTTCCCCCATGGAGAATAAAGGGACACTATGGATTTTAAATGTACTTTAGATTAATTGTGGATGTGATTTTCCTGGAATTATTTCTTTGGATTCTATTTTTACACATTTTACTTTTAATTAGGTAAGTGTTAAATGATCGCACCTGTACCAGGTGATATATTTTTTTCCCTTCCTCGTCGGAAATGCACCGATGAGTCGACTCTTTAGTCAGAAATATGGATAATGAATGCGGAAATTTAATTGTGAAGACGATTTGATTTGGGCAGTATGTAAATAAACATAATAATTTATTATTTTCAATGTCCTAAGAGATCTACACGGGGCACTTTCTATTGTGTTTTTGGTAGGTGAGTATACAGGTGTGTGGATGACCAGGGCCTATCCCGATGATTCACGTTGTATCTGTCTATCTATGTTACCTGTGGTCAGTTGTTTCAGCGTGCCATTTCATGACAATAAAGTACATGATTAATATTTATTAGTTTATTTTTATTTTTTGGGTCTTTTTCAGTGCATCAGGAGTAGGTGTATAAAATTACGAGTCAGGAGACGGAAGAATAATAAATCAGGAGGTAAGATTTACTATTGTGTGTAAGAACTCGGTATTCACCCTCAGATATCATATGATACTCTATTCATTGTATTGCACACTATTTATGGCAATATACTCTACATGTTGTAAATTGTTTATATCATTTTAAAATGCTGCATACCCATGCAGCACCTGTAATTTTCTTTATATAGTTAAACATGTTTTTATGAAATGTCTTGGTTGTGTACATCTTAGCTGTGTTGGTAGTATATAGCACAGCTATTGAAGACTTTTATTTAGTGCAAGCTGAGATTAATTTAGTGATGGACAGAATGTTGAACAATTTAAAGTCCTACACAAGTGACCACGTATTGATTTGTGTATTGATAATCTAGCTGTACCGTGCCTGAATTATTTATTGTTATTATGTGCCAATATGTCGTATGAAATACAGGTCAAAATATTAAAATTCCCCAACGAATGGACTTTAGACAACCAAGTGATTAAATTGCATGAAAATGACTTAAGTCTTTAAGGATTGAGACACAGAGACAGGAAATACCCAGTAACTGGATACTAGGTAATTTGTGACTTGCAGGCTTAGCAAATTCTTGATTTCTAAGTTTGAATTTCTGTACTATCCTTTTCATACTATGTGTAATTTTCCAATGGTTTTTAAGTTGAAATTAGCTTTGTTATGGATGAATTCATTTAATTATATATTTTCCATTTAAAGACCATTTTCTCTTTAGTGTAGATGTTGAATGTGATTTTAAAAGTAATTTTCTTTCTAGATAAGGTCAGCAGTTATTAATATATGTGAAAAAAAGTCTGCCTTCATATCATATCATTAGTCTGAAAAAAACTGGATAAGAAATATGTAAATGCAGATAAATTAGTGCAATGAATCAAAATTCAACATTACTGTCCTCTGAAACCAATTAGCACAATCATAGATAAAACCATTTAAACTTTAAACAATAATGGTTTATTGAAAATTACAAAATTTACAATTGTTTGAGTATATTTAGGAATCAACAGTAATTTTTGTCTTGTACCTTAAGCTGCATGATCAAAATTGTAATTTACTACTATAAGAATATCTTGAAAAACAAATAAAATATCATATGTTGTAGTACATCTTGTGAGACATTGACCATGTTGATCTTTATGCTTATATGCACATAATTTTGCACCATGCTTAATTTTCTCATTATAATGTATACATGTATATAGATAGAAAATTTATTAAACAGCAGATATCTGTTTGATATTAAAATGTGTTTATTAATGAATTTCAAAGATATATATACTGTATAATTTACATGTGTACATGCAGTACTTTTGAGGAACACCCAAGTTTTGAAGGTGTTTTACAGTAAGCATTGTTGATCAATATATATGGGCAAGACTATCAGGAAATATTACAGTTGATCGACGCACATGAATGAAACGCACATAAAACGGTGTAACTTAAAGATGTGCACCTGTCATTTCCTGTCATGATTGTTTTTATACCTTGTATCACCTAGAAATTATGCTGTAAAGATTATACAAGTAATTATACCTAATTTATTACCATGTTGTTGGGCATTTTTACATCTTTTGTGTGGAAATTCTATGCGGGTTTATCATTTACCTATCAGTGTACACTTTGGAGGAGAAAATGTCCCTGCATCTTGTTAAATTGGTGGAGGTGATATGAAACCTGGGGATTGTTTCAGAATGCACATAGATGGAATTTACTCGACAGCTATACCTTGTTACAGTTATAATTGGTTGGATTTTAATGCTATAGATTTTTTTTTTCTCCATTGTGACACTATATATTTTTGAAAAAAGATGGATATCAGATTTGTAACATTTTTAGTGGATGATAAGATCACATCTTTGTTTGCTTCTTGAGACGTACCCCGAAAAGTCCTCCTGTCAAGCAGTTTTCTTTCTCTTGAGGCAGACAAGGAACTTGCCATCTGACTTTAAAAATGTGTGTATTGTTATGCGGTATATAGATCTAAATACACTTTATTGATCAGACGAATTAATCAACGGATTTGACTCCTTCTCCAAATTCCTGGAGGTATTCTGTCACTGGCTTAATATATTGAGTGTGTTGATTCTATATTAAATGTATGTGGCACTAGTGGGAAAAGTGCAAGGATGTAACACCCCATCACCTTGTAAGTAATAGTTGCCAGAGAAAATTCGCTATTGTATATGCCTATATGGAATTGTCTAGACCTCTAAATCAGCTCCCCCCTTTGTTTATGCATTTTCTTGCTCTCTCTAATGAACTGTCAGGAAGGAGTTTAAATTGGTTAATTAAATAAGGAAATGGATTTTCGGTTTTACTTTTGGAGGAGGTGGGAAATTTATTGAGCTTATTTTTTTGAAAGATTGGATAATGGAGAAAAATTTTCAGCCACTAATCCTGTTTCGTATTGATTTAACTCAAAATGGAAGAAATTATTATCTATAGATCGACTTGAATTTGCAAAAGACAGTGGTGATGATCAGTCAATCAGATACGAAGTGTGTTCCAATGTTTTGTTGACTTGAAACAAATTGTGTATTTGTTGAAATGACATGCAAACAAAAAGCCTGCAGGCTGTTACACTAGACTATGCATATATGTTAGGGCAGTTTTTAGATGATTTGTTTGTCATTTTAGAGGCCAGATTGCCTCAAAGGCTAAAACTTGGCAGGTTTTAGCTGAGGTTTAGTCACAATATGCATTATTGATTGTCAGTCATGAAATTTTGCTTTCACTGTGTCTAAATTTTTTTGGGCTGATTCATGTATCATTTTGATAGTGTAACTTATAAACATATTTTATAATTTCATTTTTCTCTTATAAGAACTTTTGTCAATTATCAAATGTTTTAATTGGGTCTGAAATTTTTAACAATTTTATATTAAATTTATTTAAGCAGATTTTAGCATTAACTTGAGTGTCTGTTTATGAATTTAAAATTAATGAAAGTTTTAAAATGATCAAGAATTCTGATAGTATTACAGTTTTTAAATTGACTACTTTAAATGCATATTTGGTACTTGTGACTGAATTAAATGTACATGCTTTCAGGAAGGTGTTAAAACTGCTGTTGTAATGGCATGTCACTGCCCTATAAAGCAATAATTCTTAAACTGGCAAAGGAACCCTGCCAACTATGTTTGTAAATGTTAGTTGTAAATTCACAGGATAAACTATTTTTGTTAGGAATTTTAAAGGCTTTGTCAGTAGAGGACTGAAGATGGTATTGTTGTTCTCAGAGGGTCATTTTCTTTGCCATGTTTTACAGAAAACTAGTCTGTAGATCATAGTCAGAAAGTCAAATATTGATTAACTTAACCAATGCTAAGGAGAAGTAAAGTATTAACTTTTTGAAGGGATTTCAGGTTTAGTAAGAATGATGCTTGCACAAATAAGTGATTCAATTGTACATGGCATTAACCTGGTCTTGTTTGATTTTATGTAAATGATATTCTAACTTTCTTCAGAGATACATCTGAAATGTAAAGTTTATTGTTTACAGAATACAGTCTTGAAATTTACCTATTTTTGTATTTTAGGCCCTTCATTTGAAAATGTTCAAGATGCTTACATGATAGCTGTTGAAGATGCTGCCAAAGAGAAGCTGGAAAAATTATCCCAAACTCATACAATTGTCCCCCTTGATATGACCAAACTAGCACTGAGTAATCAAAACACGTCATCGGAAGAAAGCCCAGTAGAGAGTTATTCATTTAATCAGTCCTCCATGCCTGTGAATACCAAAGGCAAACCACAGGGAAATGGTCACTTACAGCAAGTGGAAATGAACGGTTTCAGTGAAAAAGAAATGACGAAGAAAAGTAAAGGTGACAAAGGACGTAAAGACAGTAAAGCTAAGAGGAACAGTACGACGGAAACCCCTCTCATAGAGAATGCTCGCAGTCAGAACTCACTGAATCATTCCCAGGAGGAGTTACAATACTATCATGAACAAGAGGACAGTTTTAATTATCCTTACACTGAGAACTCTTTTGAAGTGGATGACCCAGGTCCGCATAGAGAAATGGCTATTGACTGTCCAGATAGTTTTACTGCGACGGTCAAGTCACATCCCCGACCCCCCTCATCCCACTCCCCATATTCTCACCCTTCCACTCCTAACAAATCAATAGAAAAACTGCCAGACGGTAAGTCACAGCCAGAGGTGATATCAAACGGACAGCAGAATGTTCCCGTCACACAGGAGCAGTTGGAACGTTTACGGAAACATCAAGAGGATTTACGGAAACGTCGGGAAGAGGAAAGTCGAATTGCAAGGGAACAGGAATTCTTACGCACATCTCTCCGAGGTTCAAAGAAACTTCAGGCTTTGGAGAGCAAAGGTCACAATGTGGAGGGCATGGTCAACACAGCATTCGAGGAAAACGATGATGAAATCGATAACTTGGATGATGGATTTGGAAGCACTAGGGCTTCAGAAAAGGACAGATACATGAAAAAGAATCTAGGTAAGCTAATTTGTAAATACAGTTATATTTTTGTCTCTTTGCAGAAACCTTGATATAATTCTCATCTTTTGTTGAATTCTGTTACCTTGTTTTCTCTGCAACATTAACACTATATGACCTTATTTTTGTCAGGTACAAAAGACATTTTCTCCTGTCTGAAGAAACTACAGAGTAAACTGAATGCTGCTGAGGAGAGGGATGAGTTGTCTTTTCTTACTAGTCTCTTTCAAAGTCCTCAGTTTCAGCAAGCTGTCAACATCCACAGAAAAATGATCAGTGTGACCACCCAATCTCCTCCCCCCAAACCTGAGGCCACTGATGCCTACCAAACGTCTAATGAGGTCATGGAGGAGCTACAGAATGCCCAGTCTCCCTACTCCTCAGACCTGCTGGAAATGTTGTCCTCACCAGGCTTCAGAGTGAGTCAAATTAATTAGATTACAAGTATACGTATTTGCATTTTTATCGCATCTGCAGAATGACAATGCAATCATATGAGAAATGAGACTTAGTTTTCTGAGATGCTTCTTTCTAACTAGAATTCTAAGTTTGGCCGTTGAGGGAGAATATTTCTAAAATCCAAATCGTTGTTCAGGTGATGATCTAATCTTAAATTTTTGATTGGTAAAAAAAGAAAAGAATTTGTTATAGTATTAGCCTAGCTATGAAATGGATAATCAAATTTGTATGGCATTGCATGGTCATTTCTTTCAGAATCTTTTTCGAGCGCATGATTTAGTGGCAGCACAACAGCTCAAACCTGTGACAAGCCTCCCTGATGAAGCTTTTGAGCAGTATTCTATGCAAGCATATGGAGAGGACAGCATCAAAATTGTTCAACTTCAGAAAACCAATGAACCTTTGGTATGTATGTTCTGATACACATCTTTCATGAAAAATGACCTTTTGTCTAAAGGTGAAATTCAATGTAGACTTTTTGCATTTTAAAGTCACTGGCTCATGTGTCGAACTTTTGCAAGGGGCAAAGTCCATTTACTAGATGACTATTGGTATAACAGCAACTGGTTTAAATGCAACAAATATTTTTCTCTGAAATTACACCTGGGATATTTTGATTGTAGGGTGCTACTGTCCGTAATGATGGGGATGCTGTTATAATAGGGAGGATCGTGAAAGGAGGAACTGCAGAAAAAAGTGGTAAGAGTCAACATCCAGCTGTCAATATGTCAAATTTATAATTGTTGGAGAAGATTGAGCAATTCAACCAAGTGCTGGAAGTTACAGTACATGGACCATTTCTTGAATAAACAGGAATAAGCTTCATCATAAGAAAAATCAGAATGTAAAATTCTGGAGATAAATATTAGCATGCATTAACAGGATATTTCTCTGACAGCTTTACCATTAATTGTATGAACAATAAGCTTATGAAGCATTGCTAGTAAATGAGCAGTATAACTAGCATTAAAGATAGTAAAGGCCAAAAAATGTGTTTGGGCATTCCCTGCGGATCTAGCATTGTTTCTATCTAACTATAATATTTTCTTTTTATCATTGGAAAGAAATGATAGGGAAACACATTCCCTTAAAATGTTCATCTTAAAGTTGCAAATACAGCAGGAAAATGCTTTCTTGATTTGATCTTTTTTTTTTTGGAGTGGATTGGGCATAGATAAGCTTAATGGTACAATATGCTATAGCGGTGTAGACCATTGTGATTAGGTTTACAAATGCTGTTGAAATACTTGTAGGTCGTCTACATGAAGGAGATGAAATCCTAGAAGTGAATGGGATCGACATGAGAGGCAAAAATATCAATGATGTTTCAGACTTGTTGGTATGTATTAATTACAAAGTAAATCACAATTCCACTGATGGCCAATACATATCTGTAGTTTATTTACTATGTTGTAAAATTGTAAAACACAGAATCAATGTATGTGTATAGAATTTTCTTTAAAAAAAAAAACCTCCGAGAGTCAGTTTAAAGGTCACCTCTCTATAAAGAGGTTTTGAAAAAAAAAATCTGTTTTATATAACAAAAAACTCTTTATATCAAAAAAAAATTGGGGAATGACATTTTTTCTCACCTATATGGTAAATTGATTCAGGATACCTTTCTACAAGAGAAGATTTGACATCATTATGCCTATTTCTTTGAAATCTTACTTTTTCCCATCCTTTTATTTCATTCAAGGGGAGAAAGTTTAACTTTAATTGCTTTGCACATTGTCATTTAACAGAATTGACTGGAAGAGAAAAATCAATTTTTGACATTGTAACACAATCGCTCCGTTTCCAATAACAATGACCAGTGGTAGGGCCCTAATGTGAATTTGCATTTAGATTGAATGATGACTTTCTTGATCATGGCTTGGAAAAGAGCACAATTATTGGATCAGTTCAGGGCCTTCATAGTTATGCACTTCATTAAATCATTTCAAGTTTATCATACAAATGAAATTATTCAGAGAGGTGGGGAATTTAGATAGACTAATTAGTAGGAAAGGGCTAACGAGAGTGCATTTGTTGTGCAGATAAAAAAAAAACTTGGTGCAGAAGTATTTCAATATCATTTTTTTTGGTTCCATGTGAGGAATAGCTATTGGTATATATTTTTATGCCCCCATTCGAAGAAGGGAGGGCATATTGCTTTGCTGCTGTCAGTTGGTCTGTCTGTCAGTCCACCAAGTTTCCCTTCATTTTCTTCACAACAATTGCACATACTGAAATGAAATTTGGTATTCAGATTCATCATAAGAATATCTTGGTCAAGTTCTGTTTTGGGTTTGAAAAAGCCATTTTTGACAGTTATGCCCCTTGGATATAAAAATACCAATTATTTGCAGTTTCTGGTCATTTTTTCTGCAGAGGTTGCACATACTGAAATGAAATTTCGTATGCAGGTTTATCATATGAATATCTAGGTGAAGTTTTGTTTTAGGTTTGTTTGAGCAATTTTGGAAAGAGTTATGCCCCTTGGACTTAGAAAAATTCCAGTTACTGTAAATGTATTATATTTGGCGGAAATTGAATTTTGAATAAGTTAGCGTAGATTTGATTTAGCGCATTTCTTCATTTTCTTATTTATGTGTAATATGTGCAAGACATTTAGCAGTGTACTTTATTTAGCGTTTGTTGAGTACCGCCAAAGCCGCTAAAAAGAATACACAGCCAAATGTAATACGTTTACAGTATTTGGAAGAAGGAGGCATAAGTGTATTAAACACATCTCTTGTTATTCTTCACGTGTTTACAATGTACTAGCTCTTCTTTAGAAAGGGATTTTTTTTAAAATTCCTTTTACATATTGGTTGTGTGGATGTTATTTTTATGAGTTATTAGGTCTCATTTTCATGATTTTACCTTAATTTTTCAGGCCAATATGAGTGGAAACATAAACTTTACAATCATTCCAACAGGGAACTACACCCCTAAACCCTCACCTCGTCAACAGGAGGACATGGTGAGTAATAAAACCAAACAGTACAGCTAATGAGTACTGTTTCTCACTGTTCATTAGAAAAATTAAAATGAATCTAGATAGAATAGACCAAATGCTGAGTTTTTTTGTACAATATACATATTCTACTGACATTTTTCCCCCTTAAAGCTGTTCATGAACAACGTCTCTGTTAATAATATTAAGTTTTTATAAACAGTGTATTTCATCTCATAGTTTCGTTAACATTCCATAATTGGTTATTTTACAGCTTCATGTGAAGGCCTTGTTTAACTACGACCCTGAGGAGGATATATACATTCCCTGCAGGGAGCTGGGAATCTCCTTCATGAAGGGGGATATCCTCCACGTGATCAGTACAGAGGATCCCAACTGGTGGCAGGCGTATCGGGAGGGGGAGCAGGAGCATCAGTCCCTAGCCGGACTCATCCCAAGTCGATCCTTCCAGGAACAGTACGTAGATTTTATTTAAAGTATTGATATTTGAACAGTGATTTACAAGGTGAGGAAAAGCTGTGTATGTATGTTCATTTAAGGCAGAGTTTGTGAAGAAAGTTTGAATTGAATCAGAAGTATTTTCCAAGATTCAAATACTGTATCATTGTGGTTATAAGATCTTTATTATGCTAGTGAAGAATAAATCAAATAGTCTTTTAAATGTCTACATAGACAATGATATGATTCCATATCTTTAGAACCTCTTTGTATGGTTCAGTCTAATAATTATAACTTTTACCTTCTTTCTTGATGTATAGGAAGGAACGTAATAAGATCATGTTGGAAAACGAGTCCAAAGAAAACAAGAAGAAAAGCCAAACTTGTTCGTGTGGCAGAAGGGACAAGAAAAGAAAGCGAAAATCAATGTATGGTATGTATCATTTCACAATAATACAATGTGAGGTCATACCGTATTTGGCCGAGTATAATACGCATTGATGTAAAATACGCACCCCCCTTTTTGAGTCTGAAACTGAGGAAAAAAACGTAGTTCGGATGTATTATACGCAACCGAAAAATTTACCAAGCGATGTTCTGAACTTTGAAAATCGCAGTAATTTGTTACGAAAATCGGCGCAAGGATAAAGTGTCAAAAATTCACTGAACACATCTTTTTTAAAATAAACACTTTATAACTTTCTCTTGATCCTGACATTCCATATCGCGGCAATCTTGAGAAAATTATTTATTCATTTATTTCAACAAAGCACAAGATAATGTTGCGTAAAAGTATTAACAGAATTTTTTTAAGCATAGTTACGGTGATTTTGAAATTATGCGTCGCCATATTCCTAGATGAAATAATTTCATTTCAACAAAGCATGAGATATTGTTGAAAGTTTTAACAGTAATCATATTTAATTTTGGTTCTAGGTAACCATGCTGAAAATTATGTTTCAATTTTTTAACAGTACATGAAATTGAATCATCAAAGTATTTATTTAAGAAGACTACGATTTTTCTCTTCTGAAATTTAGCGGATATCTTATTTTCTAAAGAGCACCAATAAATGATAAAACTTAAAAATTTTAGCATAATTCATATTTCATTTGTTAACTCTCAATCATTTAAAAAAAGAGGCCAATAAGTATAAGATTAGGTAAAATTACATTTAACAAGTGTTTAATTGTTTAATGTGTCATAAACTGACCCCCAATTTTTAACAAAGAAAATAATCAAAGCAATTAACAGGACAGTAAATAAACATTGCTCTAACTGTAAAAACATTGCTTTGGAGTATGTAGACAATTAATTGCCTGGAGGGGTGTTGATAGGTAATTATCATTTGAACAGCGCACGTGTGTCACAACATTGGCTTCCTTTCATGGGGACGTATGGAGGGGTGTTTATGTTGCAGCAGATTTTCATTGAGTTATCTAAAACCTAAAATAAATTTTTATTTTATTGTATTTCATTAAAAAATGACTTATTACTAATTGTCTGGCAGATAAGGTGCATGTGCACTATCATTACGGAAGCACGTGACATAGGCATGAGTGAACGTCTAAAAATAACATCGGTAATGGCGGCCTACTCGGAGACGATCAACATGCAGCTCAAATTACTTTTAACTTGCTTTTTCATGTTATTTTAGTATCAAAAGATTATGAAAGTGACATTTTTAACAAGCATACCTTCCAACAATAATTTTCCGAAGTTTAAAATATGGCGATAAACAAAAGAAATTGCATATGTCTCTAGGTAATACTACGGTATGTACGTATGATAGCCGTGTTTCACCTGAAAGAAAAACTTATCAAAATCCCATTGTGATGTACAATATGCATCCCTTTCTCACAGAAATTTATTTTAGGAAAAAAGTGCGTATTGTATTCCCCCAAATACGGTAATTAACATCATGTAATCATATAAGCAATTTAATCTTTAAAAAATTAGTTTTTAAGACTTTTGTTATTTATTTTCCAGAAACTGAGGAAATATTAACATATGAAGAAGTGGAAATGTATTACCCACAACCCAACAGGAAAAGACCTATTGTATTGATTGGTCCTCCAAATGTAGGCCGACATGAATTAAGGTCAAGGTTGATGGAGTCAGATTTTGATAGATTTGCAGCTGCTGTTCCTCGTAAGTTTGCCAACAAAACACTTGTCTCCAAAAATATGTGAATCTATTTTAATGATAGTTTAAATTTCCATAAGGATAACTAAAACAAGAAATAATGAAGATGGCATATAGAATGGCATAGTTTCAGAACGTGCAGTAACACTTTTCTTTAAAAAAAAAAAACAACATTTTTTTCTAGGTCATAGAATTCTTGATGAGGAAAAAAATGAAATAATACTTCCATTTGTTTAAATCTTAGATACAAGTCGCCCACCAAAGAATGATGAGGGAAATGGAAAGGACTATCATTTTGTCACAAGAGCAGAATTTGAAGCAGACATTGTTAGCAATAAGTTTGTGGAGCATGGAGAGCATGAGAAGAATTTGTATGGAACAAGTCTGGATGCTGTCCGTCAAGTGATCAACACTGGCAAGATCTGCATCCTCAATCTTCATCCAGAGGTATAACAAATGTTCTTCAAAGTTTCGATAATTATTGTAATGTTTAGAAAGAACTTGCAAAGGTTTATGCCTTTGTGGTTTCCAAATTGTAAAGTTGAATCAGAATATTATCTTCAAAGTCATTTTACAAAACAACACTAACTTTCATATTTTGTTTCTTAAAATGTTACACCAAAGTTTTCTTTAAACACTATAAAATGGTCCTATGATGTTTTAAAAATATTTACTTTTGCCTTGAAAATAAACAGTGTATGTGTATACAGTTTTAAACTGGATAATTACCAAATTACAGTCATTTAATGCATATTCTAATAGGATTGGTTATTCTTTTCTTTTCTTTTTTTCAGTCTTTACAAGTTCTGAAATCATCAGATTTAAAACCTTACATAGTATTTGTGTATCCACCAAACATGGAGAAGTTGCGGCAAATGCAGAGAAATTTCTACCCAGAAAACAACATATCCGTAAGATCAGAATTCTTATATTTATTTTATTTTGTCCTAAAATGGAAAATGCAAGCATGATCAGTATACATGCTGAAAGTTGGCTATGAAAAGAAAGAATAGCCTTGTGAAAAGCACAATTTTAAAATAACTGATTGTTCATGTTGGTACAAACCTTGCCATTTTTGGCAAACCATGAAAATTGTCACAAGATCCTATCTCTCTCTCTCTCTCTCTCTCTCTCTCTCTCTCTCTCTCTCTCTCTCTCTCTCTCTCTGGATGTGTGTGTTTTTGTAAAAATTCTGTCTGATAAAGATGGCCATTGTATTTTGAGGATGACAAGGATTTTTTTAAATTTAGGATGACATGCTGAAGGACATCATTGAGCGCGCTCGGGAGATGGAGGAGAAATACGGACATTTCTTTGATTATATTCTGGTTAACCAGGACATGGACCGCGCGTACAGTGAATTGTTGGCAGAAATCAACAGACTGGAAGTAGAACCTCAGTGGGTTCCACTTCAGTGGGTGGACAGCTAGTTATTGAAGTGAGACCAATTTCAGGATTGTTTCAATGGCCAGTTTTTAATGCAGGACATGTAGAGGATTGTAGGAGATCTGAAAATGGTTGTGATGGGAAAGTGTGAGAGTGACAGACCTACATAGCCTAAGTTTTGTGCTTTTACAAAAAAAAGTTACTAGTCTTTTTGTCACTTTCCTTAATTTAAACATGGATTTACTTTCATAAACTGATCAAAGAACATGTTATGTGGATTATCATATAAATTAGTTTTATCCTAGTAGAATGGAATAAGATTACAGGATACATTTATTGCGACCAGGACTGTTTTGATATTCAAGATAATTCTAACGGGTTATAAATAATTCCAGAATGATTTGTTTTAACCATTAAAAAATAATATTGCTCATTGTTATATGCAATATTCCATATAGAGACATTCCACAAAATATAAATATTTTATCATTCCAAGAACTGGATAAATTATGATTTTTATAGAAATTTTTGAAATGTTAAAAATTATGTCCAACAATTTTTCTGTATAGAAATTTTCTCTTCTTCATTAAGCATTGAACAAACTCTCTCAAAATCCATTCATTGTTCAAAACTGTAAGAGGTACATGTACATTGTATTGGGTCCAAATTTATCTTTATTTATGAATTTTTTTGCCTGCAGAATGCATTATCTTTATGCCACTGACAACAAGCTTGTGCCAAGTCTCTTGTGTTTCTTGTTTAGTCTTCCAAGATTCAGCATTTATTATTAAAATGACGAGAAGTGTGGAACAAAAACTACCAGTCTGAGGAAGAATGTACAGCTTCATAAAACAAAACCTTTATCAGTCCATGTCAAATTTTGACCCTTGTACATGTAGTCCACAGATCAATCTGACTGGTGGCCTATTACATATTTTATTTATATACAACTGAACTTGATCCAATAAGAGTTTTGTATTGTGTACATTAAACAAGTTTGTTACATTTGAACAGATTATACTTAATATCATTTATAATGCTTTATCGATAAGCTTCATATAAAAGGAGTATTTATTCAGTATATTAGGAAATCAAAAGGATGTCTCAGTTTGTTTAAGATGCTGTTTAAATGATTAATTATAACATAACAAACCATTATACCCAAAAGTATATACAATATTTGTAAGATAAGTTTAAGTTATATACACAATAATTGTAACTTAAGTTGAAGACTTTGTATCTGTTACAGCTAAACCAAACCATACTAAAGATTCATATTTAAATTTGTCTTATTTACTTATTGCATGTTATAGAGTTTTGTTCAGTTCAATATTTCCATTTCCCGAATCAATTTCTGTCAAGTCCTAATGCTGCTTATCTGATACCTCAAACTATGGCTAGCTTCACAGAAACATTCTATATTAATACAATGGTGCTATATGTATAGATTCTTAAAATGGAAGCAAGACTAATAATGTTATAATCATTTGTATATATTATATTTACTCATGTAAATGTATCTTCTAAAAAGAATATTTTTACCTGATATTAAAGATGAATGTGATATACAGTTAACTTGTTTGATTTTATTAGTAGGTGGTGATGTCTTCTCAACAGTCACAGAAGTATATGTTCCACTTTTTATGTAAATGTCTTAAGTATGGCATGCCAAATTCACAAAAATGAGCTTATCATAATTTACAATTGATAAACTATGTTTCGACTGTAAACTATAGTTTACTGTCCGTAAACTACAATAGTTTACTGTCCGTAAACTACAGTTAACAATGATAATCTATATTTCACATTTGTAAATTATGGTTTACGCGATAATCTGTGTTTTACAAGCGTAAACTATAATTAACACTGAAAACAATCATTTGCCGACTGTAAAATATAGTTTATCTGATAAATATAGTTTCACGATATGTAAACTATGGTTTACAGCTCTGAAACATACTTAACAAATGTAAATTATAGCAAATGTAAAACATAGTTTATCTGATTAATATAGTTTCACATGTACATGTATAGTTCATGAATGTAAATCATAGTTTATACATGTGAATCTGTGTTGATCAGCAAAATCTAAATGAATCATTGACTATAGTTTACAGTTTGTAAACTATAATTTACAGCTGATAAACCCAGTTTAGCAAATGTAAAACTATATTGAACTCGTTTTTGTGAAATTGGCTTGCCATACTTATGGTCCAAACTGACCTATATGCTCTCATTGACAAGCTCAAGATTGGGACAAACTGTTTTATCTGCCTGCATGGTCACTGCAGCTTAAAGTATTTTTGGCTATAACTTTTATGTGACTTGGATTTAGCAAACTTAAGGTTAAAATGTTACACTTGGTCAAGTTGATGCAGAGGTCAAGACCAAATAGAATTTCTAGTGAGATACAACTGTAGCTCTTCCTCTAGGGCATTGTTTAAAAATACTATACAATGCACAATTCAGGAGTTCTGACTCTAGATAATGTTATTTTTGAAATCATCATAGTAATCTAGCTGCTCTTTGATCTGAAATACAATGTAATGTGAATGGAAATCTGTATATTACTCGATCAATATATTATCAATTCAAACATTCAAAGGTGTTTTATAGGCTGATGATAAATTGTCCACTTTATTTGCATGCATTTACCAAATTTAAAAGTACACAGTATGATTTGGTGGTTCTTGAAAAGATTTTTAAAAGATATTATTTCAACTATTTCTTAATTATCTCTCCTTTGGAGAGCTATACATAGGACTTAATCAACTAAGACTTGGACAAACGTAAATCCCCTCGATCTGCCTTCAGGCAACTGGCAAGGATGATTTGTGGCAAGTTTGGTTGGAATTTGCCAAGTGGTTCAAGAGAAGAAAATGAAAGGGTATATGATGAAGATTACCATGATCGATGACAGTCAACAAAGAAAGGGCCAAAGCTAATTTGAATATGATTTTCAAACTACATGTATGCCTACTGTCTTTATGAGAAAGTTAGATTACATAACAATACACTCAATTTGACAGGTGTGGATTACTGATCATGATTTTAATGGATTTTTGATAAATGGAAGTCTTTTTAGACTACTTTTTACAACATATACTGCTTCATTGTCGATATCTGAGCTAGGACAGTCACCCAGTTCAATTTTTTTTAAATTCCACTTTTAATTTAGAGACGATTAAAATTACAATAAAGAACTTTTTTTAATTTATAAAAGCCAATAACGTTAAAACACTTCATAAAAAAAATTTAATTAATCCGGAATTTGTCCAACCCCCTATGATGGTTTTTTATTTTTACCTTTTGTACACAACCGGAAATGAGGTTTTTCACATTGTGCATTTCTCTGGCCTGTTTAGAACTAAGCGGTAATATAAAATACTTTCAAAATGCCACCTAAAATGAAATTTCAAGAAGGTAATTCAGTTTCTTTGTCTGTCATTTATTATATTTGCATTTGGATTGTCGTTTGTGAAGAAAGTGTGTGCTGATTTTGTAAAAACAAACATTTAATAGGCTAGTTAGAAGTTGGGTGATGAGAAGTCGAAAGTTAAATGCTTTAGTTTCACTGACCATTGATGGAAGTAGATATCCTCAGAGGTCCTTGAGTCGTTACCTTAGTTTGATCTGGTCTGTTTTGTTAATATATTTTGAAATGCTATTTTATTTTGTACATGTAACAGACTAAGTCATTGCTTTGGTGACTGACATTAAATTATTTTTCCTTTAAGTTCATTTGAACCACAGGGGCTTGGTCCCGGCGTGTAATGTTTTTTTTTCTCATAAAGTCATATACAAAATACTTAGCTGCAGAACTGTAGCTCTCTGGTTGAGAAAATTTGGACAGATAAAGCAGAGAGCTAGAGATCCAATCATTGTAAAAACCTTCGATTTACGCCGATGATATTTTGTCACTCAATTCGGATAATTTTTCTTGTATTTGATACTTTCATCAGATCTAAAAATGGTATTTAATAATTAATCATGCTTTTAAACTTCAATTCCTGATAATTTACTTACCTTTCAATGCTAACAAATGGCAGTTTGTGGTTATGGACGTCGAAATGGAACTCTTTTAAACCGGTCGACATTACAAAACTATATACAGAACTGTTTCAGACAGTTAAAAGGTAAATAAACTTTAGTAAAGTATCACAAATAAGAGTTAAATATATGATTAATTTGAGGATGCAATTCTAAAAGCCAGAGAAAGTTTCAACTACACGAAATAAATACCTAAAGTAGCGACAAAAAAATCGTCGGCGTAAATTGAAGGTTTTTACAATGGTTGGATCTGTAGCTGTCTGCTTTATCTGTCCAAATTTTCTCAAGCAGAGAGCTACAGTTCTGCAGCTACGAAATACTATAACAACATATAAAGAGGATGCCATCCTTTGCTTCAATATCTGTTTTTGTTATAGTTTCCCATATTTTACCAACTCACCACCTTGAATCTTTCGGTTATATGTTTGTTTGCCCTAAAATTTGTTCACCCATTATGCTGTTTGGCCTAATTCCCATTCGCCCAGAGTCCGCTCGCCTTAAAACTTGTTTGCACAGCCAACTTTTATTCGAGTTTGAGAAATTTTCGTGAGTTCTGCGACCGAATTTAACCCGCGAATATTAATTGCAGCAAATCAATAATATTGCTTAGTATTTGAGGACAATGGTTTCCTCAGTCGCAAACAATAATCTTCGCAGATTAATTTCAAACGGACAAATCGCGAATTAAAGATGACGCGAAAAATTATAATTGGTTTACAGTATATATAAGTATTGGGCAAACCAGATATAGGGCGAACAAGATATTAGGCGAACAATATTTTGGGGTGAACGGACTCCTGCTAACAGGTAGATCGGGCGAACCAACCCAATGCTGAATCTTTTTAGTAAAGATTCTCATAAGACAATGCTCAAATTATACCTTTGGAGCCTCTACAATACACATTTCAGGCTATAAAAAATTCAAATGCTCTTAAAGACATTTGTAGAGAGAACAGAAAATGAAAGTAACCTCACGTCAGGTTTTAAATTACATTTTAATACTAACTCTGTCACTATGAATTTTTATTATAGCTCTTTAAGGAGATACTTGGAATACACACACATGAAAAATAGATAGGGCTAAAAATAATTCATTGCATATGGGCAATTTTAAATTTCTAATGAAAAGGTTACTTATTTTTTGTGTTTCATATTTTGATAGGGGAGAAAGTGCTTTGCTTTCATGGGCCATTATTATATGAGGCAAAGGTCAGTACTACACAAGTCATGTTCATTAAATTAACTGAAAACATCTATGAAGTAAAGAATAAAGACTTTAATATATATTCTTTCAATGATGAGATCAAAATGCTTATATACCCGCATGAAAATGATGTCATGAGCTATATTCAGAGTTTAATGGAGTTAATATGTCATAATTTCATTTTCTTATCCTGATTAATATATTATATAGAACTTTATGTTTATTCTTATACATTTATAATTTTATTTTAGTGTGTGAGATTTGAAGTCAGGGACAAAGTTAACCAATACTTTATACATTACAATGGATGGAACAAAAAGTAAGAACAGGTTCTGGCCCTGAAGGGGTTGATCTGATGCATTTTTTAATTCCAAAATATTTTCAAAAAATTAGATTTATTGAATACCATTAATAATGGCATTTAAAAAAAAAATTAAAAATCTAATACATGTAATTGGTTTGCTTCAGTTGGGATGAGTGGGTGCCAGAGAGTAGGGTGTTGAAGTACAGTGATGCCAGTATTCAGAAGCAGAAAGAACTGTTAAAAGCTCATGTGTAAGTAGATGATAATATTCATGGAGTGTTTTAACTGGGTGTTTGATTACCCGGTAGATTTAAATTATTGATTCAGTAATTGATTACACTTATTGAGAAGAATTTTTTCAGTGGGAAAAGTAGAAACAAAAGTAAAGCAAGGGAAAAAGAAAAAGAGAGAGCATCGACTCCAACAACAGAGAAGACATCCAAACAGAAAGGTAAGTGGGTAATGTGAAAGCAAATCCAGATGAAATATCAACAAAAACAAAACATTATGAAATTAAAAATCAAGAATTAAAAGACTTGTATGTGTTAACATTATCAAAAGGTGAAATCTTTAGCAATAGGGGTAGGATGATATATTGATACATTATTTCCATCTTCTTTAATTTGTTAAGGAAATTATGATTATTTTTATGTCCATCAATGACATTTAACTTGGTTATTATAGTCATAGTGATTTGTTAATTTAAGGTACGCCAGCATCAGGTGCAGGGTCAGCTTCCAGTTCCCAGGATTCCTCAGCAAGTGCCACACCCACTACTGGCCCGTCAGACCCGAAAAGGAAGAGAACGCGCACTGATACAGATGTAAGTCAGTGTCAAAGGAGGAATTAAAGCGTATAACTAAACTGATGGGAAAACAAGATTGAATGTATATCCTGAACTCCACCCTGTCTCCATTGCTGATAATGTTTCTTTGCATTTCATTTGAAAAAGGACAACTTTATCCTGCATTTTCATTGCAGAATCAAATGCATTTTCTCCCTCTTAAGTTTCCTGCATATTGAATGAGTTAAAACTTCTTAAAAACATTGCTATGTTCCATTTACAGTCTGCCCCAGGTACCCCATCTCAAGAGACCAAGGAGGCCACACCCTCATCAAGTACCCAGACCAGTACCCCCATCCAATCAGAAGCCCAGAAGAAGAGAGGTCGGCTGGGGTCAAGTACACCTGCTCCAACAGCAACTATAGAGGTAATAATAAATAACTTAAAAGAATTTCAGGTTAGTTCTTCTTTGGTGAAAATTTATTTATGCATGGATCTGTGAAATAAAGTATTGTTATAAAAACTTTGTTAATTGTTAAAGTGAAGAATTTGTTATTTCATTTTCATATTTTAGAAAAATACAGGGCTTAATTTGTATTAAAACTGTACCTTCTTCTTTAGGTTACTTCTGCTTAAATGAAAAATTATTTATGCATAAATCTGTGAAATGAAGTATTGTTCTAAAAACTTTGTTAATTGTTAAAGTGAAGAGTACCTCAACATTAAGTATTTTTCAATACATTGAGTTTGTCACACTAATCTTTCTCCTGATAAAAATTTTACAGTCTGCGCCAGCCACTCCAGCATCGGAATCAACAGCCAGCACTCCCTCTACTCCTGTGGCTAGTGAAACCACAAAGAAACGAGGTCGTCCCCCAGCTACCCCCACACCCTCAACAGACACGGTAAGTTCATAAGGGCAGTAGTAGAAAAAAAAGACAGATGTACAAGACCTTTGCTCTAGCATATGGCCACAAAGAATGAAAGTGAAATGTGGCTCCTTTGAGCATTTTTATACATGAAACATACACTGTACATGAACATGTACTTCATTTTAATAGTGATAAATTTTAATTTCTAATGCGAAAGCTAATACATATATTGTCATACATCAAACATAAACTGTACGTGTACTTCATTTTAATAATGATGAATTTTAATTTCTGATGCAAAAGCTAATACATATTCATGATTAAAAGAAATGCCTTAATGTGTTATTTTCAAGACTCAAATTTGCTAATTTATGTTTGTGCTAGTTAGTTGAAGAAGAGGATTATGATAAATCTACAGTGGTCTTATTTATGAAGGGTTACATTATATGGCGTGATGATATAATTTTGTAGACATCTCAAGCCTCCCAGGATTCTACTCCGTCTTCAACAGGAACTCCCTCCACAGAAGTAAAGAGGAAGCGGCCCAGGCCTGACCCCACGGTAGAATCGGTACTATTTACTAAACCCCGAAATTATAAATATCCACACAACATAGAAAAAGCATGAGTCTTAAATTCTTATAACCTTCAAGTACCATAAAATAGGTATAATTAGTTAACCTCCACAAAATATTTTATGCACCTATTTTCAGCTCACAAAGCACACATGTACATTGAAATAATTTATTTAAACAACTTCAGAATAAAGATTAACATGATTGTCATCCCTTCCAGACGTTGTTATATTATTTAAAACATTCATTTAATCTACATTAATTCAAATACATTTAACCAAAATTGAAACAAAAGCGTAAATGTGAAATCCTAGCACCTATTAATCCATCCAGCCTCAGAATATGAAAGGCTTTATTGTTAAAACCTTTGTCAGAATTTGAAGTCAACAAATTTTTTTATAATGCCCAAAATAATAGAACCTCACTGTAAAGGTTCTATGTACAAGTGTATATATAAATTCAATAACCTCAGTGAATTTATTATACACTTCCTCCTTAATGAACAGAAGCAGTTCATCTTTGTATACCAGTGACGTATGTGATGAGATATACTGTAAAATCACAAATATTCGTGGGGGATTAAATTTCGTTTATTTCATTGTTAACAATTATCAACTAAATTAAATCCCACATGAAATTTTATATGACTACATATTAAGTAGGATTACTTTCAAAACAATGAGATTAAATGCCCACGAAACTATTTTTTATGAAAAATCAACGAAATTTGATCACCACGAAAATTTGCGATTCTACAGTATATTTTTGAATAATTGTTTGAATTCAAATACATGTAAATGTACATACATGTACACAGTAACACTTTAAGCTTTATGAAGTTATGTATTTACTGGGATATATTCAATATCTCTTTTCTGTATTTATAGGAAGAATCCTTTTTAGCAAAGATAGAAGTCAAAATCAAGATTCCAGAGGAACTCAAGCCCTGGTTAGTGGATGACTGGGACTTAATTACTCGACAGAAACAGGTAACCTTGATACAGACAAGAGTATTGTTTTTAAATGAATCTGGACAAGTTTAGTAATTTGTTGTAGATGTCCTTCATTAAGGTAATGCACATGTACAAACTAATAAATATCAAAACCTTTAATTTGGTATATCATTGGTACATGTATTTTGATGTTAGCTTTCTTCATTAAATTAAATTACATTTATGTACAAAACCTTCAATTTGGTATATCATTGTATATGTATTTTGATGTTGGCTTTTTTATGTAGTATTGATCTTGAATACCCCTTCTGTTATATGTGCACATATCATTAGTCTTTTCATCAAAATCATCTTGTAGATGCACTTTTTGTTTATGAATAGAATGTAACATCCACTTTCAGGTAGTTTCCCTGCCCTGCAAAACAACTGTAGATAATATACTGGATGACTATGTACGCTCCAAGTCCACAAAAGCCAGCAATGTCAACAAGTATGTTGAATTTCTCCACTCCTATCTCTGTCAAATTTTATGGTATAAATGTAGTCTTATGTACGAGTCAGTTTTTTGTTGTTGATATAATAGATGATGAAAATATAGAAAATAATATTGATGAAAAATATTTTGCCAAATAGTGACAAAGATAAGAATTTAAACAAGGACTTACTTGTATGAGGGTTATCAAAATGTTTGTCGACTGGTGTGGTTAATTCAAAATACAAGGGTTATTGTTTGAAAATTAAATATTAAAAGTTTACCTAAATTTAAAAAAAAATAGCTTGATATCTTGATTATATTTGACTAATAAACAAACAAAAAAGACACATTGGTCCCCTTTTAATTGGTTAAATTTAATTCACCCGTTTTGCATGGATGTTTTATTTTAAATAAAGTCATCACTATATACGAGGGTTGTCCCGTAAAATCGTGGACAAAGAGGCTATTTGAAAATTAAATACTAAAAGTTTACCTAAATTTAAAAAAAAATGTTGATATCTTGATATTATATTTGATAAAATATACAAAAAGAAAGATTTTAATAAACAAACAAAAAAAAAAGAATACACAGTTTGAATTCAAAATAAAAGTTTTAAATACATAAAATTTGGATTAAAATTATCCTAATTCAATTCCACAATCCTTTGTAAAAAATTGGTTAAAATTTGGGAAAGTGGTAAACACAACACGTTTTCCATGGATGTTTTGTTTTAACTTGAAATGACCATAGAAGAAAAAAGATTATAAAAAACCATATCTTAAGTATGCAAATGAAATAGGAGTTTTCACTGGGGAGTACAAAACATACGGACAAACTCCTAATGTAATAGTAAAAGACGCTGTCACAGTAGACTGCCGATATGAGATTTTCTATTAGTTGAATGATGGTGAGAATATTGTCCACTTACTAATAAATCTTAAACATTTCGACTGTTTAACATTAAAGAATGTATTTTAATATAAGGCATCAGATAAAGGGCAAGGGTACCAAGAAAAAATTGAGCCCCATAAAATATAATTCCACATATTTTCTCATTCAGATGTATGGTTTTACATTTTATTACCAACACAGCAATTCATTGATTAGTAAATTGTTTTTCCAGAGATGCTGTTGTTGAGGTCACTCAAGGAATCCGAGAGTACTTCAATGTCATGCTAGGTACACAGCTACTGTACAAGTTTGAGAGGCCTCAATATGGAGAGGTAAGATACCTGTATGGGTACATAATGTCTCAGGTCAGTGGTAGACGACAAGCTGTGAAAAACTAAACTACTGAGAGATATTAATTAAAAAAATATATAAGCATGTACATGTATTTGTTCTTTGCAAATTTGATTTGAAATGTTCAGTATAAGTATTTACTAAGAAAAAAATTGGCATGCATATATCCGGATTTATCCCTCTGTAGAAGTATTGTCTATCAAAAGTAATAAAAGGCACTCTATAGATGAGTAGTGAGCACAAATTTTAATTTATTTGTAGATACTAAAGGAGAACCCAGACAAACCAATGAGTGAGATCTATGGTGCAATTCATCTGTTGAGACTCTTTGGTAAACTAGATTTATACTCTGATTTCTTTATTTATGTTTTTAAATTTCATTTACAGTGTAGTTATCTGATAAATTAATGCTCAGCATACTTTTTTGTTTACCCCTTGGAAAGTAGACATTTTATTAAAAAAAGTTATTTAACATATTGTACAATGCCAGTTTTTATTAGTATCTTTAGAAGTACATGTATTTGTTTTGATTACAGTTAAACTAGGAGGAATGTTGGCATATACATCCTTGGATGAAAAGAGCATACAACTTCTACAGAGTCATCTGCAGGATTTCTTAAAGCAAGTTATTTCTTAGAATTCACCGGAAAAAACTTCACATCATTTAATTTTGAGATGATTCCTGTTTTCTAACTCAGGGCAGGCCCCCTAACATCACTTTTAAAAACCTATTGATTTATACAATTTGTCCAATTTATCCTTGAATTACATATTTGAAAACTGATTTGTAGACCAATTTCTTAAAGTCTAACAGCTTATACATATATATATACATGCAAAGTAGACTGTTTAAATTTTGCCGTTTTGATTCATCTAAGTTCAACAGAGTCACTTATTTAGTAACTTTCCTTTCTTTTTCAGGTACATGCAAAAGAACACATCTTCTTTGTTTTCACTGAACGATTACATAGTTGCTCCCCCTGAATATCATCGTAAAGCAATATGAAATGATCTCAATCATAGCCAGGATAATGTTAATCGCTTTTGCACCAACAGTTCAGAAGAAGATGGTGGAAGAATTTACCTCTTTGTTATCCATTCAGAGAATCTGAACTTTTCTTTGTAACTGTAATACAACGTTATTACAATGTTGTCAAATTGAACATCTTCTGTATTATGCCATAATGCATGTACTGTTGTGTTTGCATGGTAAAATATACATGAACATATCAAAAATTTGTTTTAGAATTTTATAGATAACTTGTATGCATGAATACAAGTTTTGAGAAGGGGTATCTGTTTGTTATATGCATATGATTAATGGATTTTGAATAAGCATGTTTGAGAAAAGTATAATGATTTGTGAATATGCATGTTCGAGATATGTATAATGATGATATACAATGTAATATGGTGCAAGTGTACCCAGTATGTGTAATATTAGCTTTGTTAAATGAAGAAAACAGATGATCTTGCAGAGAAATTTTATTCTCAAGCTGTGTTTTCAAAGTATGAGGGTTTGTCTTTTGAAAAAGAAATCAAAGCTGATAGACATTCTTTGAGAAAGATTTTTTATAACGTGCAGTAAAAATCATACAAAAAATAAACTTAAAGAAAAGAAAATGCTTGTCCATTTTTTTTTTCAATCTTGACCATCAAGTGATCCATATTTACAATCCATCCACCATTTTGAAAATAATTTGTTATTTAATTTAGGGTGGAACTTTTTTTATGCCTCTTTATATGGATTGCTTATAGTGCATTTTTAATTGGTTTGAGTAGGGCTTACAATTTTGCAAAAATGTGTAGAACTCCAAGGTGAAGAAAAAAACGAACAAGAGGTGTTTGTGAAATACTTATGCCCCCCCCTTCCTTTTGGACATACAAGCCAAAAAAAAAAATAATGGAACTGCAAATAATAAGAATCTTTCTAAGTCCACGGGACAAAACTCTGTGAAATATTGCTTAATCGTACCCATAACAGAACTTGAACTAGATATTTTTATGATAAATCTGTATACCAAATTTCATTTCAGTATGTGCAATCTGCAGCAGCAGCAAATGTATAACTTTTATCGTCCATTGTGGCCGCACCCAGCCCCTAGGGGTTATGATATGAACAAAGGAGATGGGTGAACTTAGCGTGCAGAAAGCCCACTAGCTTCAGATATATAAAAATCATATTCAAATTGTGAATTAAGTATTTGGAGTAAAGTTCTCATCATTGATTTTTATGAAATCATGTTAAACAAAAAGTTTTGAGGAAAATGTTTCGTTAAAATTTATTCTTTTATAAAAGAAAAATAATATGGTATCCATTGGGTTCAAACCCTAGTAATAAAAATCCTGAGTTGCATTCTCTATCGAGACTGGCACGCTAACCACTACGCTTCACAAGTGCTGATGAAGTGTGTCATTTAAATCATGTTTGTGATATGACCATTGACTTAAGGGACTTCAAGTATTTCTTGAAAAGATACGAAAGATATGTCATAAAATTATATTTTAAAGGTATAGTGGGTCTTTGCTCCATAATTTTGGAAACCAGAATATGTATGTTTGTATGCAAACTTTGAGGATTAACTTTCAAAAAAATGAAGAGAAGACCCACTCATATTGAAAAATAGTGTTATAGTGTGAAAAAATGACTTGTTAAGGTCTTCCGTCTTCACGGAAGACCTTATAGCGATTCTACTGTTTCTTCTTATTATTATTATTTTCCTGACCATCTAATTTTGTGCACGCGATTTCTCGAAGACTACTGTGTGGATTTTCACGAAATTCTCAGAAACAATGTGTTGTTATCTGAAGTTATTTTATCCGAGAGATTTTTTGGAAAGTCGCTTCCGGTGCTAAGTTACAGACCTTTTCCTGAATTTAAAATGACATTTTGTCCGCGGTTAATCTCAAGAACGGTAAAAGATATTAATGTGAAACTTTCAGGGATTATAGATCGTGATATTCACTATCCAGGACGCGACCTTTCGTTCGTCGTCAGTACTTCCTGTTGTTTTCAGATGAAAATTTAAAAATTCGAATTTTCTAACTTTCTTGTTTTTCAATATTTTTGAATTATTTCAAAATGTTTAATAGAAAGCCTTCTAATTAGGCTTAATATATAATTTGTTTATAAATTGATAAATCCAAACTCTAGATATTAACATTTGAAAATTTGAAGCGTATCCAAAATGGCGTCTGTCTCTGTCAACTCCGACATTTAGCGCGTAGGGGGTTATGGAGTCAGCTGAGCGTTTGGTTGAACGAAACTAACATAAGGATAAATGAAATGTAAAAGAGTACTTTGATTGTCACGTCATAGTTACGTTGCTATTCTGCTTTAACTAAAGTTTTAATTCGAGGTCTTCTCAAATTGATTTTATCTGCTTCTCAAATTAGAAAAAGATGAGACTATATGTACAAATGAAATACTTTATCTACAACCTTTCGTTTTGCATCATGGAACAACAGATCTTGAATCACGATTGATATACATGTAAGCATAAGTTTATCAAGAAACAATATATTCAATGAGTATAAAACGCGGCCACTGTTTTCCCATGCAAACTAATAGAAAAGAATAAAATAAGTAAACCGTTTTTCAAAAGATCGTTTAATGAAGTTTATGTAAACATTTGTTTTCTAATAGATCTAATTAAAGTTATTGGACATACATGTAAATGGTATCTTAATTCTTGACCGTCGTTGGATGAGGCAGGTTTTTCAGTTTCAGTTTTTTAATGAATGTGTAACTAATTGGGAAATTGAAATATGTTAAAGAATCATAGCCATATTCAACTGTTTTCATATTACTTTCGTATAAACGATATGTTTCGTACATTGAACGTATTAAATGACTTTTAAAACTCACAATTTAAGCTATAAGAACGTTCTTAATTTCATTGAAGCTATCACACCTTTTTAAAAGAACTTCCCAAAGAAAAGGCGTGAAGATTTTGGCGCGAAATTATGAATAGTGACCAACCTTTCACAATTTCAAGACAGATATACTGTTGCAGAAATATTAACAAATAAATTCAGAAGAGTTGTCCCAATTTAGTAAAGGTAAGCGCATTGGAAATACTTGTTGGTAACCCTGGTTCAATCACCCATCTCTACGAATTTTTCAAATGAGTTTTTTCAGCTCAATTTTACAGGTTTTTTTCAGAATCGGACGGAAGACCTCTCGTTGCTCGCAACGAGATCGTTTCTAGTTATTATTATTTTTCTTCCCGATTTCTCTAAAACGGCTGGACCGATTTTCACCAAACTTTCAGATCTGATAGATATTTATCTGAACCTTGTCGGAAATTTTTTATAAGTACGTCGTCACTTCCGGTCGTGATATATGGACGATGTACTGATTTTTAGAGGGTCGGCTTGTCCTAAGATCTCCTCCTAAACGACTTAAGATATCGACTTGAGATTTTCAGTGAAGGTAGAGGAAGGATACTAGATGTGACATTTTGCATATAGAGCTTTCCAGGTAAAAAGGCATCGACGCTCGCCTGAGCTCGAAAAATAGGCTCATGCACATCTCGCAAAAATCGATAGGTTTTCTTTTATATCTTTTTACTAATTAATATTTTGTTAAGATATATATAACAAAAAATGCGCAATATAGTAAGACCTTTCATTTGATTTGAAGAAAATGGGGTTAGCCCTTCAAATTAGGGGCATAGAGGGGCCAAAAGTCTCTCGTCTTTAACTCATTAACGATCAATATTTTCTGATACATTACTGAAGCAAACATATTCAACTTAACGATTTGCAACAATATATACTAAAAATTTGATTATATGTTACGCAATAAAGGGTCACAGGGGGCTAGAATGCTAAATCTTTGACGCTTTATATCTCGAAAAGCGGGAATATTTTGATAAGCAATATTGAACAAAAGATGGTCAAAATAATGTTCCCAACAATATGCACACTTTTAATTTGTTCATTTTTTCCGTCGACACATCCGTTGTAAACCGGAAGTACATGTAATTTAAATACATGTACATGTATAGCGATTTTTTCATTTTCCAATGTATGTAATTGTTCATTATAGAGATTTAAAGAATTCGTAGCATGTTAATATTTCCACCGGAAGTACGGTTCGTTCAAACCGGAAGTTGTCTAAAAATGAGCATTTTCCGTCGAAACTTTCAGGGATGATTACTGCATGCTTGATGTAGAGTTGAAAGTAGTTTTGAGCACATACGGTCGCACCGGAAGTGAAGAAGTAGAACCGGAAGTTGATTGGAAATGATAGATCCTACATTTTTTTGTGTTTCTAAGCATATTTTGAAGAATTCTTGTGCGTTTTTGACATTTTTTATCCTATCAGTGGAATTATCCCAACACAGGTCTTATTCCATCAGATATCGGACGGAAGACCTACTCGTTGCTTGCAACGAGATCGCATCTAGTTTTGTCCTCTTTTTTGTGTGTATAATATTTCATAGGCAAATAACTTCAATCTTCATGAGATTTGTGCAGGTTGTAGAGATTTTACATAAAGTATACTTAAATGTTAGATGAAATATTAAGGAAAATTTTGATATTGAGGTTTTATTTTTCACCTTCATGTTTGTTGCGCTATGGGCTTATCGCTCGTCATGTTCACCCATCTCCTTTGAATCAACAGCTTTCAAATAAGTTTATCTTTAAATTTCTAGCCCAATGCCTCTTGAGAAGACCCCACCTAATTTTTACTTTAAATCATCTCCCCTTGGATAAGGATGTGACCCTTCATTTAAGCAAACTTTAATATCCTTTACTCTCCAGGATATTCTACATCAAGTTTGGTTGATTTTATTAACCTAGTGGTTCTGAAGAAAAAGAAAAAAATGTAAAAAGATAATGATGACAAAACACACAAATTTTGATCAGAGAAGCTCAGATGTAAGATGAATTATAATATAAAATATCATTTTTTTTTTTAAAGTCATAAATATTTTAATAGTTAACAATCACCAATAACAATTACATGTAAATGCCACAATACAGCTATTCATTGCACATCCATAACTTAAAAATGTCTTATATGTAAATAATACTATCTTATTTTAGCCAAAATTGCTGATCGTCTGTCTGTATTTTGAAACAAAGCCCTGATCATCTGTTTCACTTCTGAAGCTGTGAGTTCATTTGCCAGAGGTCCTTTTCCATCTGCCCATCTATCATTGATCTCCAGTAGACTGGCGTTCAGTAGGGTGATTATTTCTGTAAATCTTAACCATTTTGGCACGTTTCGCTGGAGTTCTATGGTAACATTAACATCACCGTCATCACTGGCTGATTTCATTAGAGGACCTGCCCTCTTCTGGATGAGTGACATCAGATTTGCTATAAGTGTAGCATCTGAAGCAGAAATGTCCTCCAGTCGGACCACCTGGTCACAGATCTCCATAACCACATTGTTCAGCAGAGTACCTAAATTTAATGAATGTTAAAGATTAAGCAGCAGCATCATAATGTTCAAATCTGTACATCTTCTGCACCAAATTTTCAAAAAAATTTTAAAAAATAAATAACGAGGCCCATGGGCCACATCGCTCACCTGAGAAGCTGTATCTGGCCATTCTGTGTGCCAAGTTTGTAATACATAATGTGACCCCACCCTACCCCACTGATCATAATTTAGACAATTTACAATCTACACTACTAAAGGATGCTTCTACATAAGTTTCGGCTTTTATTGCCCAGTGGTTCCTGAGAAGTAGATTTTAAAAGATTTTTCCTATATATTTCTATGTTAAACTTTGATTCCCCATTGTGGCCCCTTCCCACTGTGTGTCATGATTTGAACAATTTAGAATCTGCACTACCCCAGGATGCTTCCACATAAGTTTCAGCTTTTAAAAAGTTTAGAAGATTTTTAAAGATTTTTCCTATATTTCTTGTAAAACTTTGATAACCCTCGGGGGGTCTTGATTTGAACAATTTAGAATCTACACTACCCCAAGATGCTTCCATATAAATTTCTTTTTCTGGCCCAGTGGTAAGACAGATTTTTTAATGACCCCACTCTACTTTTTATTTGAAATCTTGTGAGGAGACTTGGCCTTTCATTTTAAAAATTGAAATTTCAGGGATTTGTACCAAGTTTGGTCAAAACAGTGGTTCTTGAGAAGAAGTCGAAAATTGAAAAGTTTACCTGACGGACACACCTTGTGAGAAAAGCTCACTTGAGCTTTCGGGTCAGGTGAGCTAAAAAGACTACACGTTGATTCTACAATTTTTTTAAATAACCCTGTCCCTCCAATTTTTATTACAGGCAAACATACTGCATTAAATCCTCTCTATTTTTAGCTCACCCGAGCTGAAAGCTCAAGTGAGCTTTTCTGATCACATTTTTTCCGGCATCCGTCTGTCTGTAAACTTTTCACATTTTGACTTCTTCTCAAGAAGCTATGCCAGCACCAAACTTGCCACAAAGTATCCTTGCGTGAAGGGGATTCAAGTTTGTTCAAATGAAGGGCCACGCCCTCATTCAAGGGGAGATAATTGGGAATAAAAGAAAATTTGGTGGCATATTTTAAAAATCTTCTTCTCAAGAACCACTGTGCCAGGAAAGATGAAACTTATGGAGAAACATTCTCAGATAGTGTAGATTCAAGTTTGTTCAAATCATGACCCCGGGGGTAGGGCGGGGCCAAAATGGCCAACCAAAGTTTTACATAGAAATATATAGGAAAATTCTTTAAAAATCTTCTGCTCAAGAATGACAAAGCCATAATTCATCATATTCATATGAAAGCATGCTCAGGTAGTGTAGTTTTAAGTTTGTTGAAATCATGAACTTGTAGGAAATAAATTTTGAAAAATTTTTACATAGAAATATATAGGAAAATGAAAGATCTTCTTCTTAAGAATGACAAAGCCATAATTCATCATATTTATAAGGAAGCATGCTCAGGTAGTGTAGATTCAAGTTTGTTCAAATCATGACCCCCAGGGTAGGGCGGGGCCAAAATGGCCAACCAAAGTTTTACATAGAAATATATAGGAAAATTCAAAAATCTTCTTAAGAATGACAAAGCCATAATTCATCATATATATATGGAAGCATGCTCAAGGTAGTGTAGATTCAAGTTTGTTCAATTGTTTAACCCCCGTAGGGCTAGGGCGGGGCCAAAATGGCCGACCAAAGTTTTACATAGAAATATATAGGAAAATTCTTTAAAAATCATTTTCTAACTGAATAGCAAATCCATGATTGGTCATGGGACTACTTTTGGATTTAAACTTTACAATAAAAAACCATTTTCTACTTTTTCCTACCCTTAGTGCTCAGGTGAGCGATGTGGCCCATGGGCCTCTTGTTTTTTATTTCATTTTCTTGTTGTACTCTGTTTCCACTTTATCTGGTGACAAGAATTTCCTTCCACACCTTCTGTAGATGCCCTAGCTGGTTCAGCACCTATTTAATTATCTACTCATTAATTACCTATTGATCTCCGGTATTGACTGACAGGTAGAATCTCCTGCCACACCTTCTGTAGATGCCCTAGCTGATGGAGCACTTGTTTGACAGCCTTCTCAGTACTGGCAGAGTTAGACCCTTCAGACACACTGACAAAACCTGTCAAATACAAAAATCACATACAAGTAAAAGAGACAAATTTCTCAGTCAAATGAATTTTAAATATTTTTCATTTACCGGTATATACATAATTTTATATATTACATAAAGTTAAGACCACTATTTTCAACTTTGATATAAAAATGTTCAAGATTTATAAAATGAATAAACAATATTGCCAATATAGATATTACAAAATTATTGCGTGATTATTTCAATGTATTGCAATATATTGAAATATCGATATTATTGCCCAGCCCTATTAACAAGTAGCCTTTCACATATGTGCATTTTTTTTAAGAAGTGCCAATACATGATGTATCCCTAAGGAAAGGTCTCCCTATAATCTCGAGGACTAAAATTTAAAGAAATATGACAATAAAATTTAAACAAATAGGACAGTAAAATTTAAACAAATAGGACAATAAAGTATACCCTTGGCAGCCTTTAGATATTCCCTCATGATGTCTTTCTGTGAGTTAAGTTGTTTCAGCATGGTGTCTGTACCCAGTCCACGGATCTTGGGTATTAGGTCCACGAACGTCGCCTGCACATCCTGGGGAAGAGATCTATTGAACTGGTGCCCTATGGTTGCCAGATGATGTGCAACAAACATACAGTCATTGTTGAACACAGCTGAAATAGTCAAAAATTAGTTATTTCCAGTCTTCTGAAACACATAGTGATCATTGAATTTGCCAATATAAAGATTCATATATACCACTCATCTGAGGAAACAGGGCCAAGGCTTTCTGGTGAGCTGTGGGGTACACCCTACAGAACAGTTCAAACATGTTTCTGACGGCAAAGAACAGCTGTATGGCACATTCCTGGGAACTCTGAGTAGCCTCCTCCAAGGTCTCGTAAGCCAGCATCATAAGCTGCTGTGTGCACACACTGCAAAGTGAAAGACACTTTAATTGTGCACTCAAAATCTCATCTTCTATATTTTAATTTTGTTCCCTAAAGTTCCTATTTATTTTTCCTATCATTCCTGGAATATATAAATAATATTACCTGATTTGACAAGCTGGAAGCTTCAGAGTATCTGTACTGAGTTGACAGGAGCTAGCTAGCTCTACTTTTCTAGACTTCTTGCCAGAAGGAGCTTCCTTGTCAGCTGTTTCTCCGAGTGGATGTTCGTCTGAGACCCTCACTGTGTTGTGTAGCTCTGACTTCATTAGTTCTCTGGCTCGCACCAAAATGTCTTGGGATTTCTTATTGACAAAAAGGACATCTATGTTCTTAACAAAGTCCTCCAAAGCATTGTCATCACCAGGAATGAACTTCAAATTAACAAGAGTTTCTTGAAAACATTTTGTTGGTTCAACACAATTTGCTTCAAATTCGGACATTTCTTTGTTATTATGAGGAATGGCTGGTGTTAAACATTCCTTAACTATGAGTTCCAATAGTTCCCTTGAAACATATTTACCAATGCATGATAAGAAATTGGTACCATCCTGTACTGTCAAATTCATGAAATATTTGTCAAGAACCTGAATAATGGTCATAACATTCATGTACATCTGTTTGGGAGATGGTGGAACTGGAGTCTTCTCATTGTTGACAGTTACTATGACGATGTTTGACGGAGAGTTCTTCACAACAGCTGTGGAGTTGACGATGCATGGCTTGAACAGGTATGAATTTAATCTGTTCCCAAAAGTTTTCAATGTAGAATTCAGAACTCCTAGAGTCTCCATTGCTCCGATTATCTCGCTCAGCACACTACCTCCAGACGTCAGCTCCAGCTGAAACACCTGTTTGGATTTATCTGGAGTGTTCGCATCACTGGAATTCCAGGTGACCAAACTTTTCCATTTTTCTGTCACCTCGTAGATCAGCTTCTCTTTCTGTACACAGGTCTCGGTCTGTAATGCCTGTAGAATCTGTATACCCTCATATCCCTCTAGAGGTGTGCCTAGGAGCTCATCCACCTTCACGAGGAAGGAGGCAGCCTCAGAATAACTCTGTCGTTTGTTTGCAGAAGCAGCACTTTCCAGATTGTCCTGTATCTGCACTAGCCTCTCCAATATAACTAAGACACATCTGTGGTTCTCCAAGTCACCCTTTAACGTAGTAAGCACATCCTTAGAAAGGGTAAGCTGGTTTTTCACCTACAATAGAAATGCATCAATGTCAAATTTAAAAAAAAAATTTAAATGGCATACTGGTCCAGACCTGCCTACCCTTTTAATTCCATGGGTGTAATTTCAGTAAATTTTTGGTGGAATTTCAGGGGTAAAAGCGTAATCATGTTTTCTAGTTTGTTGTATTTACTATAATACGTTATTTTCTTTTAAAACAACCTAATTCGTACATTACTTAAGAAAAATGGAAAAAAACTTTTCTTTTTCGAATCATCTACTGGCCAAAAAAGAGATGTAAAATACATGTGTACCAGTATTCTAAAACTCGAATCAACCGTACACCCTTAAAGAAGCATGTGGTCAATTTGTATCAAATCACTTAATTGATTGTATACTGTTTAACATCCCTCTCCAGAATATTTCACTGATATGGAGACGTCACCATTGCCGGTGAAGGTCGACAAATTTAGGCCTTTGCTCGGCACTTACGGCTTTTGAGCAGGGAGGGATCTTTATCGTGCCACACCTGCTGTGACACGGGGCCTCGGTTTATAGGGTCTCATCCGAAGGACCACCCCATTTAGTCGCATTTTACGACAAGCAAGGGGGTACTGAGGACCTATTCTAACGCGGATCCCCACGGGGCAATCACTTAATTGAAGGCTTGCGTTTGCATGTTTACACAAATCGTACATAACACTGTATTTCATCTTTTTATTACTCATATTTCTCTATCTTGTTCAAAGCAATGTCTAAATAAACACAATTGAGCTTAGAAATTGCATGCTGTAATTATGCAATTATATAATTTAATAATTTACGAAAGCAGTGCCTTCTCTAGTTCTTCCAAATCTTCGCCATTAGAGTTTACATTGAACTACTAGGTATATTATGCTTGTTTACGAACTGGTCCTCTATCAATAACTTTTATTGGAACTTTTAATTTCATTTCAGCAGGTCATACCTTGACTCTAAATGTAGACGTTCAAAGTGGATTTTCAACCAAATTATCAAAAGCATAAAATTAATATAAGTGGCGTAATAGCGTAATTTTGTGGTAAAAAGCGGAAGAATTATGCCAAAAGCGGAAGGGTAGGCAGGTCTGCTGGTCTAACCCAAATAATTTATTACTAATATTTCATTTGAAATACTCCTAGCCAATTCTAACTCATCCATGTCAGACAAGTGTGTTTTTTGAATTCTGCTTACTAAAGTAGTAAAATTTGAAAAACTTCTATAATATTGACCTTGAAAACTTATTAAAATCAAACCTCATTTTCAATCTTCTCCCTGGCCTCATGAAGGTCCTCAGTTACTTTATCTACATTCTCTTTTAATGACAATGTTGTCTGGAGTCGCTGTGGGAAGAAATCTACATACTTTCCCTTGGTGACCTCATACACTTCCAATTTCAGATCTTCCATCTTTTTACTCAGTACTTCCATTTTCCCTTGAATTTCTTTTGCCTCCAATTGGCCTTTAAAAACAATTTGCTGCATAATTAAGCTATATATGTTAACAACTGCATACTATTGTTGAAGAATATTCAATTAGGCGTAACAAAAAATTATGTTTGTTTACGGTTACCCGACCGACCCTAATTTTCATCACCGACCCATTCTTTTTTTTCGTCGTAGAAATCCGGAAGTTACTGGCCGGTCAGTTTAACTTTTACATTCATCTTTGAAATCGAAATTGAAAGTACAAAAACAAAACCAGCGAGTTCAATTTCTACACCAACGAGTTCGTTGCAATTTGCTTACCATTGCGTGGCAGTTGCAGGGGTGTACAACTAGCATCGCCTGATGCCCGGTGCTACCGTTTTAGGGGTAGTAAAAATTAAAATTATGCATATTATACATGAGAAATACAAACGGTATTTTCACTCATTGTTTTGCTATTTAATTTCCAACTAATGAAAATTTTTCAGGCAGCATGCGCCAGCTGTTCTTAAATTACTTTAACCTTATCCATTTTGAAGTACTACCTGACTTATTTACTTCAAAAAACGATCGTTTTTTTCCTAATCCGAATTTCCTCCATTCCTCTGTTAATGGTAAATACATGCAGATATCTCTTTCCATTATTTACGGTCCCCCAATCAACTAATTGCTAAGTGTTATGTGATTAAACTTAATATATATCAATTGTATTTTATGGTTTGAAATGAAAATAAAATGATTTTGCTTCATTTTAGATAAGCTGCACTATAGTACAATATGTTCAGAAAAGAAAAGATAATTTCTTAAAATTTTTAAACTTCAACTTTAAAAGGGATGGCTTAGGACCCTGACTTTCTCAACAATGAACATTTTACAATATTTGTTTTTACAATTTTTTGCCCCTATATTTGGACTGCTCACTTTTAACTTCGGGCTAGTAACTTTATCATGTTTATTGCTGTTACAAGCCTGTGGGCTAGTACTTGATTTTTTTTAATTGCACACCCCTGAGTTGTAAGGCAGTTGGCAAGAAACCACCCATATTTCAAGCCAAACAAAAGTAAGGCACCATACAATGGTAAAACTGTTTTGTAATTCAACCAATTCATGTGAATTTGTGTATAAAAAAAATTCAATAAAATAAAAAAAAATTCCTACCTACCGACCCTATTTTATTTCAGCATGTAACAGTAAACAAAGATATTTTTTTGTTTGGCCTTATCTGATAATAATGACACAATAAGCCTTACTGCACAGCTGATTTGCTAATCTTTTAAATACAACTTTTAAAAAGTCTTGCTGAATCTCTTATGAACAGTTCATTTCAAATGAATTCAATATGAAGCTTGAAATCCACTTAATATGAAGATAAGCAAAAATCATGCCGAGAAATGCTATCTTTATTACCAGCCTACCAGATAAATTTTTTATTTAAGGACAGATGATACAAACAAAAAAAATGGATGCCTGGATTGGTATATCTTTTTTTACCTAATTCCATTGCAAATGATGCAAATAATAAATTTCTAAAATATAAAGAAATTGTAAACCTTCTGTGATGTTCTAAAGTCTGCCCTTTTAAAACCATTCTTATTGATCTATACAAATATTTTTCACTTTAAATACCATTTTTGTGCAAATTTGAATAAAAAATTAAAAACTATGCGGTGAAAGTTATTTATTTTATTCATTTAAGCATGACCAAAGTTATTATTTTCAAATTCTTTGACAAAAGTTTGTATCATCTGTCCTTAATTGCTAATGCTTTTTTCATGAAATTTTATTTATGGACATTTTATTATATTCTTAGAGAAGATTTTGGGCATGCACTGTTGCCAAAGCCTGCCCTTATCCTAATGGATGGGTTAACTATTGACTGTGAACAGTTTAAGAGTTCCTAACTCATGGACCTGTCATAGTTTAAATGAGCATTTTATTCAAAAGTTTTTCTTTATTTAAAAAATGATCCAAAAAAATTTAACAGTTGCCTTTCTACTACCACTCTACCAGGCATACCCGAGCGTCATTTACCAAATGGAAACAAATGGACCCAAATGGAAATCAAATGGAATATTAAATATGCATTATCGTATTTTAATACTTATTTAAAATGATGAAAATAAATGAACTTACGTTTAAAAATGATTTTTTTTAAATTATTAATCTCTAATATTGTATTTTGAAACATGAAGTTTCGATAGTATTCTATATACCGGCAAAATTATTTGGGGGTGGGGTGAGAGGGGGGCATGGCCCCCTCCCCCCATCCGTTCCTACGGCCATAGAAACTATCAAATACTTCAGTTTTGTATTCAATTATGTTCAGTAGTTATTACAAATAGAATTAAACTAAATCGCATTTTTAAAAATACAATTGAGGAAAATAATGATATTAAAATATTCTCTTTTTGTTTCAATTTTATTATTTTCTATGTTTTAAATAAGTAAAAACTTGAGAATACGATATAATATATATATTTTATATTCCATTTGGGTCCATTTGATTTCCATTTGGGTCCATTTGAGTTTCCGTGGGGATCTGGGTTAGAATAGGTCCTCAGTACCCCCTTGCTTGTCGTAAAAGGCGACTAAATGGGGCGTTCCTTCGGATGAGACCGTATAAACCGAGGCCCCATGTCACAGCAGGTGTGGCACGATAAAGATCCCTCCCTGCTCAAAGGCCGTAAGTGCCGAGCATAGGCTTAAATTTGCAGCCCTTCACCGGCAATGGTGACGTCTCCATATCAGTGAAATATTCTGGAGAGGGACGTTAAACAGTAGACAATCAATCAACAATCCATTTGAGTTCCATCTGGGTAAATCGACGC